TCAGTAACCGAATTTTCTCACTAATAACCTTTCCTCTACCCATTTTGAAAACCTTAACTACCCAAAACTATTTTAAACGTATTCTGACAGCTGATATATTTTTATTATTTGTGTTTGATGAGAAAAAACTAAGATTTAAATAGTTGGGCCAACTGAAGTGGGAAGGGGCTCGTATAGTCTTGTTGATGTATTGTGCCTCATGCATTGTAAAAATTACTTTACTACTTCCCGTCGGTTTTGAGTCATCCTTTTAATAAATTATTGACTTATTTCTAACAAGCAAGTTCTGACTATCAAATACTAGCTCTGATCTGGTCTAGTAGTTATTAATGACTGTCTGGACTATCGGACATTCTTTGTTGAACAGAAACGATAAAAGTCCGAGCGTGTATAGAGAAAGCGTCAATTTACTGCCGCTTGCTGTAAACGATGGTGGCAGTGACATTCCGTAGCCGACCGCCTATCTGAAAATTGCATTGGGCAAATTGCCTGAGTGTAGCTTCTACTTTAAATATTCTGTGCTACAAGGCTATCTTTCAATAGATCCTATAGTATGTATGTGTATAGCATATTTAATCTTAACCGAATCAGCGAGTTTGCATTGTGATAATACAGTCACCGACGCGATACAGTTGCTTTGTTGTATGTAGAGATGTTACTTTTGTTACTTTGAGTAACAATACATCTCAAAAGCGTGAATATTAGGTTACAACAAGCTAAAAATCGAGATGTTCTGTCGCGGCAGTGTCATGCTGCAAATCAAAATTTTTCTTTCAAACATCACGCTTTGATGTCTACTTAGCTGAACAGGGGTGCGTTTGTAAATCACTTGGTAAAGTAATACCGCCCTATTTCAGAGTATCCATCACGGTAGAATGACAGCTGGTTATCTAGTAATATTTCAAAATTCCCCATATCGAGAAAGGTCACATAATTCTGACGGATCTGTCAATGCCAGGAAGACAGAGCCATAGGTATTTTGTTTTGGTTTTGGTACGCTACAGATTCATTTTGTACTTGCTAAAAGCTCATTTACCCATATAGAAAAGTTCATCTGCATTTAAAAAGGAAACGCTACAAACAAATTTTTGCTAGATTTACACCCGATTCATTATAGCCAACGTTGCAGACTAACACAAAAATGTCACTTGCTTATCGCCTGGGCTGCGTTCGTAAATTGTTACAGAGTGTACTTTGTACTACTCGGTAACAATTTTAGCGTTCGTAATTGTTTGACGTATCTGTTGTTTGATTATTGTATTTGGTTATCAAAAACTTCTTTCAAAATTGGCAGAATATATATTTTTCATAAATGCTATCTCGCATCCCTAGGGTCTCTTATAATACCTACAATGGTCACAGAAAACGTGGTTAGAAATTAGTCGGCTGTCATCAAGTGTCATTACATGACTGTAATAATTTGGGCGTTCTAAAAATAAAGTTCCATAGGATTCCAGAGTAAAATTTCATTATTCAATCTACTGAGGTGAACAGCTGATCAGCAAGTGATATTTTTTTGTTAGTTTGCGACGTTGGCAATAATGAATCGAGTGTAAATCTAGTAAAACTTTTTTGTAGCGTTCTGTTTTTTGTATGCAAATGAACTTTTTCAAATAAAGAGCTGTTAGCAAGTACAAAATGAATCTGTAGCGTACAAAAAACCAAACAAAATACGGTTCTGACTTCCTGACGTTGATGGATCTATCAGAATTAAGTGTCCTGTGCCGATATGGGAAATTTTGAGATATTACTAGATAATGAGCTGTCATTCTACCGTGATGGATACTCGTGAAATAGGGTTTTAGTTAATTTATACATACACCCTATTTCACGAGTATCCATCACGGTAGGATGACAGCTGTTTATCTAGTAACCTTCTCGAAATTCCCCATATCGGCTTAGGACACATAATTCTAACGGATCCCTCAACGTCAGGTAGTTAGTGCCTCATTTTGTTTTGGCTTTTTGAACGATACATATTCATTTTGTACTTGAAAAAGTTCATTTGCATACAAAAAACAAAACGCTACAAACAAGTTTTACTAGATGAACCAATACTTCATTAATGCCAACGTCGCAGTCTAACACAAAAATGTCACTTGCTGATCAGCTGTTTCCATCAGTAGACGTCAAAGCGTGATGGATACTCGTGAAATGGGCTGCTGTCTTTTTCATCACGCTTTGACGTCTCCTGAGGTGAACAGCTGATCAGCAAGTGACATTTTTATGTTAGCCTGCAACGTTGGCAATAATGAATCGGGTGTAAATCTAGTAAGACCTGTTTATGGCGTTTTGTATTTTGTATGCAAATGAACTGTTCTAAATAAAAGAGCTGTTAGCAGTGGCGACGCGTGACTTTTCCTAAACTGTTACCAAAAAAGTTTTTGCTTAATTTAGGTATTTTATTTAAACTATTTTTAAATTAAGGTAAACATTCCTGGACTGAGCATCTGAGGCACTTGATATACCTCATCGTCTTATGCTATGACTAATCCAAGCCGTCCGAAAAAAACAGTCTACTTTTCTAGATGTTCGGAAAATGTTTGATCTTTTTTGGCAATGAATGTTAACAATTCCCTGTAATGTCCTCTAATGTCAGAGTCATCCCCTTCAAAATGAACGGTAATTCCTGTTTTGCCAAAAAACATACGGTATCTAGTGCTGCCTAAAAGCTTTGTTAAGACAACTTTCGATTCTTGTTTTGCAAAACTGAATTAAATTGGCTACACATCTCACATGTAACGGATAAATTTCATGTCTCCTCTTTAGAGCCCTAAAACTATTTAAATCGTTGACTCCGCTGCTGGTCCACCCATTTTTTTCTGTATAAAACAGAAGACATCGCCAACAATACAATCTGTTTTTTTGCAACCACATAACCAAGAGTTTCCATATACCAACTTAATTTAAAATATCAAACTTCGTTTTTTATTCCTTTTTAAAATTATCTAAAATAGGCGTTGGTCTTCCATTTTCAATGATCTCCTTTTTTTTCTTAGAAATGACTTTTCAAGTAGTTGATCGATTACGCAGCGGCACTCATCCATGTTTAATTGCACGCATACTACAGCCGGTAACCAAAACGGCTATTGACGAGTGAGAAGTGAAATCAAAAAATGGTAACAAGCCCACATAATAGTCGCAGCGCCCCACGCACTCGGGCGGCCGCGATCAGACACGAGCCGGTACCGGCGGTCCTTGACGGACTACCAAGTGTATCCATACTCTTTTTCGTATAATATCAGTAAACTTTATAATAATATCCCGCGAGAGTATACTTCTCTTTCTATTGATTTGTTTAAAAAACGTATACGCTATTACATTGCAGGTAATTGCATGGTATGACTTTGGAGTCATTATGTATTTTTATCGTACCATTTATCAAATTAGCCGCTAGGGTCCATTCTCTGAAACTGCTTATACATACATATATTTTTTTACCTAATTTATATATTTATATATATGCTTATCTTATTATGATGTAAACCTAAAACCGGGGGTTAAGTGGAAGAGCGGATATGCCGAACTTCGCTCCTCCCACTATATGTTCATATAAAACTGGTTTTGCAACTTGTTTTGTATTTCCTTTTGTGGGAATAAAGACATTATTATTATTATTATTATAAATGAAAATGGTAACAAACGACAACCAAGACGAGGCGAGTCAGCTTCATCGTGTTCGCAAAACCTAGACAGTACAGGGCGCATTATTTTCGTGGCGCTAATTTGCTATTTACTGAATTACTATTACATATCGCTGTTGGTAAACAAATATATGAAATTATTTCACAGTACTTAGTCATAAAATATTTATTTTTAAGATTTTTAACTGTTACCATTGGTAACAATGGTGACATGGACGCTTCGCCACTGGCTGTTAGAAAGTACAAAATGAATCTGTAGCGTACAAAAAGCCAAAACAAAATTAGCCTGTCTACCTGGCATTGTGCCGATATGGGGAATTTTGAGATATTACTAGATAATCAGCTGTCATCCTACCGTGATGGATACTCGTGAAATAGGGTATAGTAGTATTTCAAAATTCCCCATATCGACAAAGGACACATAATTCTGACGGATCCATAAATGCCCATATTTTGTTTTGTTTTTTTTGTGCCTTACAGATTCATTTTGTACTTGCTGAAAGCTCTTTTATTTGGAAAAGTTTATTTGCATACAAAAAACAAAACGCTACAAACAAATTTTTGCTAGATTTACACCCGATTCATTAACAACGTTGCAGACTAACACAAAAATGTCGCTTACTGATTAGCTGTTCACCTTAGTAAACGTCAATGCGTGATGGATACTCGTGAAATAGGGTATAGCAGGTGCTAGCTTTATTACTGCCTTAGAACATAAATAAGTTCGTGGACTAAAAAGTGGGACTTGATGCACGGAAACCGAATTCATAAAGAATACTTTTCTGCCAGGTCGTAGATAAAACTACTTTTTTTTTATACTCCAACTACCACGAATGCCTAAGGCCTTTACACCCATTGGGTACCGTGGGGCTATAGGGGGATACAAGGGAAAGGGGGAACGCCACACGGACTCTGGCGAAGGAACACGTGTGCATGCAACATGCACACATTCTGGCTCCGCCTACGAGATCCGCCGGGTGGTACCTCCACGTTCGACAGTCAGAGACCATCTACCACCTAAGGACAATCACAACATCCATAGCCAAGAGAAAAATTTCTCCTGGGACGGGACTCGAACCCGCACAGCGCACGGCGACTGATCAGGAGACCGAAGAGTCTACTACTGCGGCCACCGCTGCTGCCTTACTTGGATCCTATATTTATAGTCAATCGCCACTATTACTTAACCCTAAATGGAACACAGATTACAGATTTCCGGAAATAATAGGCAGAGTGTTACTGTGATCCCGCCGCCACTGGTTGTGTAAAGCACTAAAGATTGATCTTATCTCTGATTGATCTACACCTCTGGGATTCCCCTTTTGTGACCTCTGTCCAAGCGCATGCGCAGATCATGTGAAATTGTGAAACCGTGGCTTCCCATTAACCTGTTTGGGACTGACGACTTTTATGTGCTTCACTTCTTGTTCACTTGTCACTTGGTTTTGTCACCTTGCTGTTCTTGTTGATTAATATCGACTTAAAGTTTATTGTTATCGCGTCCCACCGCTTTTTTAATTCTACTTTAACTATCAGAGATTGGTCTTCAAGATTTTGGTAATTATTATCAAGCCAAAGTTGAAACTGCGTCCGGTAGGTAAGTGGATAATGGAATATGTAATTATGTTTACTTGAGCTCAGCTCGTAATATTACATCAGCAACGTCCAATGCCTCCTTTACGCCAAAATTGTAAAATATGTTGGCACCAACCCTACCTGGCATAAAAACATTTAATAGATTCAAATAGATTGCAAAATAGATCAAACATCTGAAACTTGAACCCAGCAATATTGTTGGTTGTTTGTTGACTTCTGAATAACCATTTCATTTTATACACCTTCACTAGGTATATAGAATACCTGACGATTTCTTGCCATGCTGCTATCCAACTCTATTAGTAGAAATTATAAGTACTATGAGCATTAATTGTGGATACCAGCCCAGTCTTATCTAAGTATATAAACTGAAATGACTAGTTTTATCTCTATTTGTTAAAGATAAGGAGTCTGTTTCAGAACACTACTCAATAATAGTGTGTCTCACACTTCCTATACATATTTGTTGCTGATTCACCTAAATATAATATATATATTCTCTGAGACAGTTTAAATGGTTATTGCTGCACCTATTCTCATCTTCAAAACTGTGACTTCAATATATGCTACATGGATAGTTAGGTACAAAAGATAGTATTCATTTCTACATTATTTTAAGATAACACAACATGTCTGTGGAAAACCTGGATGAACTAGGCATCCAGCCAAATGATCAAGAAGTTAACATCCTGTTAGTTGGTGAAACAGGAGTTGGTAAATCAACATTCATAAACTCATTTGCAAACTATTTGTCTTACAAGTATATTGATCGTTTAGAAGAAAGGAAGGAGAAACTGCATGTTCTCATCCCTTCTACATTCCAGGTATGATTTAATATTTGAGTTGCATAGGTACTCTATAACATTGCATGCTGTAGCATGTGCAAGTACTTTCTTTAATCTACTTAATACATGCAATAATATGCAATCTCTAGAGAATGTGTGTTGTGAACCACATTGATGACATATCATTTGATTTTCTATCACCATTAGATAACTAGGTTAGGTTTCTATAAGTGGGGTCAATCATGATACTTTTCTGTAACTCACTGGTCTATTATGGCTCACACTTAGTTATATATCTTTCAGTAGCTCCAACCTCTAAAGGAAGTTGTACTGGTCCTTTGCGACTCTGGCAATTGCAGGGAATCTGCAAATGACATGCTTAACAATCTTTTCTCCCTTAATGATGAACCATCTGCACTCGGTATCTTTTGCCATTTGCCCAGCCCCCAGCCTGCTCGTATGTTGACACAATCCGCAGTCCCATTAAATCTTTAATTCCTATTTAGCCTCAGCGGTGAATCTGCTAAGTTTTTTGGTTGATATTAATTCTTTAGGACAACAACAACACTAGGGTGTTGATGGATCTTTCCATCTGCCCATACACAGTTCAACTTTTAGCCAGATTGTATATGACCTTGATTGCTGGCTCAGGCTCTGTGAAGGGTGTGTAAGTCTCACTCTTTGCTAGTTGTTTGTTTCCCTTCAGACCCTTGTGTCCTGGTATTCATAGCAGATGGACTCTATTTCCATCCCCTATGCTACCACCAGCTTCTTCGAACTACTATACTTACGGCTATCCTGCTGAAGGGATGCCAGGGCAGAGTATAATTTGGGTTCCTATTTTGCCTTTAGGGATTGAAGATGAGAGAGAAGACTTTTTTGCGATTTTTTTTTATGAAATACTATTGATATTTTAGGTAAAAGATAAAGATGGACAAATTCATGATGTTAAAGTTGGTAATGTGGAAAAAAATGAATACATGGAAGTTGGTGCATCTGCTACACAAGGTGTCCAGCCTTATGTCTTTGGTATATATGAGGGAAGAGTTAAAGTGAGGGTAATAGATACCCCTGGGATTGGGGATACTAGAAGCATACAGCAAGATGAAGCTAATTGTGAAAATATTATTGGTATGTCTAAATAAATAACATAGATACATTGTGTAATCTTATGTATACTGTTTTTATTAGGCTATGTCAAGAATCTCAACAAGCTCCATGCTATCTGTCTACTATTTAGACCTAATGTAGCCCGACTGTCAGCAAACTTTGAGTACTGCTTGGTACAACTTCTGTCTAGATTGGACAAGTCTGCTTGTAAGAATATTTTTTTTATTTTTACTAACACCAGAACTAGTGAATATGGACCTGGAGATACATTACAGATTCTCCAAAAAGCTATAGAGAACATTCGTAGTGATTCTGGTGTTATGATTCCCCTGAACAAAAATATATTTTGTTTTGAAAATGAGGCATTCAGGTAAGCAGCTAAACATCATTGCTCTCCTCATAAGCTAAACTCCCATATCGTCGGCTTAAGATGCAAATGACCTAACTCCAAAATCCGAAATTGTTCAGGAGATACAAAACACTTCACAGAAAAAAAGAATTAGTGAAACAAAATTAGTTTCCAGAATATTTTATTTTTATTTATTGCTATATACGAGAAAATAATGGTGATTTTCAAAATTAGGTTTTATTTGTAAAAAATTGGGAGTTAGGAGATTTGCGTTCTCTATGCATGGTGTTACAAGCAAGAGATAGGCAACTGCCTGATACATTGTGCAACTTAAATTATTTATAAAACTAAGCTTTAAAGAAGCAAAAAATACAAAGAAAGAAGCATTTTACAAATGTGGTAAGTTATCATAAAAATAATGAAAGTCCTTAAGAATAGAAGATTTAAGGTACATTAAATGTTGAAACTTTTCGGATTTGATTGGTATGGGAGTCGGATACATTAACGGCAACTCTTCTAAATTCCAGATGTTTTTATCTTCTTTCTTCATTCTAAAAGGTAAAGGTGTCCATTCCTCTGTATGCCTGATGATGGTAAAATTATGCACTATTAACTTTGTCTTATAATAAAGAGCACTGACATTGGATTTTGGACTCTGTAAAACTGATTGTAAATCCATGGTAAAAACCTTTACATCTTGTTTTGTTTTGTCAACCTCTTTTTGGTTTCTTGCTTCCTCCTTCTTCTTTTGATGTTCTTGGTAAGTAGCTTCGTCAATATTATTAGTTTTGTAGCCTACACACGTGTCACACTCGTCCTTTTTGGGTGAAAAAAGTGCTAGATTGAAATCGTCGAAACTGTTGTTAAAGGCTGCAATGGATAGTGGCTTTGAGTCATTTCTCTTGCACCAGTCATTGGTATAAAATCGATATAATTCCATCTTTGATTGCCAATTTCTTTCAAGGTATAATTTATTTGTGGACTTCCTACAACAATGTGATTCTAGCTTTGGTAGAACCTTAAAGAAATTACATAAATGTTCCTTCTGTTCATTGATTTTCGCTGTTCTGGGATTAAATTTTTGGTAGGAATTATCGTGCGTATCGTTGAGGTTATTATCATCTACCAAATCATTTGAAGCATAAAGCGATTTATTTTTTTTCAATCAACCAATGTGCAACAGTTCTAGGCGCAATCGCAAGTGTGTTGCAAAACATCGTTTTACAGACTGTTATTTTGGAAGTTGTGTGAAGAAAATAAACATAGGAGAATTCCCTTCTTGATTCGTTCTCTTTTTTTCGGTCCCTAGCTCTTGAAGTACTTTTCTTTTCAATCAGTGTCCTTAGAAATAGTTGTTTCTCGTTCCACAAAAGATTCCAAAACCTTGTGAAAATATCTGTTCTTTGCTTTTCTGTTATATCATTGCATTTCATTACTGATTTACCATTGCATTTGCACTTAGGTCCTATAGCTTTTGATTTTTTTGGAATGTCATAATTCCATTTTTCTTCTTGCCTTTTCTCACCAAAATACCCCTTTCCTTCCTGTCTTAATATCTTATTTTTATTTTTCTTCCATTGTTTTTGGTCCACATGACGTCTCTTTTTGCGTGTCCTTGGAAAGTTTTCCATTAAAATGTTGTTTTGGGACTCCTCTAATACCCCATCTTCACTTGATATAGTTTCATTTTCACTGAGTTGATATGACTTATCTGATCTACTACAGGTTTCAATATCTTCCAAAATAGAGTTTTGGGCTTCTTCACCAGGAATTAATTCGTGAACAAAACTCTGCTGAATTTCTGGGTCAACATTAATTTCACAATGATTATTTGAGCACATATAATTCAAGTTAGCCACTTCTTGTTGGGGTGAGTAAATCACCATCAGTAATTAAATTGTCATCAGCTAATAAGTAATCAGTAGATGCTGAGGTGCTGACTAGACTACTATTATCAGTAAACAAAGTGGAGAAATCCTGGTCTTGACCAAAATTATCACAAAATGTTAACACACTATCTGTTTTTACTTCACTTTCGATATTGGCCTTAACTTGAATGTCTTTTCTAGCCAATAAAAGCATTTTAGACGCACGAGATTGGTGATTCATTCTGAAACAGATAGAGTTGATTAAAAAGTATACTTGTATGTACAAATTTTATTATAATTCTGTCTCTTTACTAATTGTACAACAAACCGTATACAAGCTAATCATTTATTATTAATTGATGAATAACCAAAAAGTTCCCCAAACAGCTTCATAGCAACCAAGCAAAAACTCAAGTGTGTGTTTTTTAGCACGTTGACTGCCACCATGGACTGAAGAAAAAATGCCTTACTGGCCGTAAGACAATTTTTCCATGATTCCTCTCAAAATAATCTAAAATGCAAGCAGGATCAAAAAAAAACCTAAACAAAAATAAAAAACGCTGTTTTTACAACTATTTTTTTGTGGTGACACATTGGCATCACGCGGCTGGTCATGCCTAGATTATGCCTGTTGGCCGCGTGAGACCAACGCATCACCACATTTTGCCAGAATGCACCGCAATCTAAAGAGTTTGTCGCGTATAACAGTTGAGTTTTCTTTTTATTAGTTTGATCAATAGTTTATAATACCCATTATAGTCGAGAGTGTTATAACAATCATGTCATATGAGGCAGAACAACTTTGGCAAGAACTTTTATCTAAAGACGAAATAGACGATGAAAACTTGTTTGGAGAAACATCATCAGATGAATATCAGCCTTCTGACAATATGACTGACTCTGATTCGGATTCAGGAATAAAAAGGCCGAAAACTGAAAAATCTTTGACAGTTAGTGTACAGGACCTTGTTGAGGGAAGCCAACCGTCAACTTCGGGAGCTGTTGTGCAGAAGTTCGATGCCGGCAGTAATGCCAGTTTACAACAAACAATTGAAATCTCATAGGTCATAAGCAAACGTTGCTATGCGTAAAACTCTGCAAACGACACTAAAATGCACAGGTTGCGAAAAGCACTACTGCTTAGATTGTTTCTTTCAGGTTCACATTTTCAACAGAATTAACTAATATTTTCAGTTTCACATGTTTAAGTTCTCGTTTTGTTTATCTTTTTTTTCCACAAGATTTGTCATAATTGAAATAATTATTTAGAAGTATAAAAAACTGAAAACTATAACTTCGACTCTTACTACAATATTTTGTCATGTGAGACCACAGTGGTATCACACAAGTAAAGGCCAACAGTTCCTACGGGTTCATTGGGCCGCCTATTAATCGATACAATGTAATTCAAATGCAGCTAAGAGACCACCGTGGCTTCACGCAGCAATATGGGTTCTCTGTCAGTGCGAGTCCACGTAGGAATCATGCGGCCAGAATTTTCATTTTACTATGGTGACACGTTGGTCTCACATGGCAGTCAACGTGTTAGGTCAAATTTTAAATTTAAAGTTTTATATTATTGTACTATATTATTTATATTTTATACCATTACTTATATTTATTATTATATTATTGACAAAAAATGTTGGAAGTAATTACCCCGTAAGTACAGAGCAGCGAATGGCCTATCTCCTATTAAATATAATACTATAATTGCCTAACTCCAACATGATGTTTTAAAATCAGATTTACCTATCAAAACACAAAAAATAAATACTAAAATCATGTTATGTAGACAGTTTGTGTATTAAAAGTAACACTTATCTAAAAATATTATCGGTACTTACCTTAAATATCGCTTTAGGCACTATTAATTAGCTCTAATGTTTCACTAGCTGTTGCTATCATATCACCACCGGGAGTTAGGCAAATTGCATATTGTTGCAGAATAAGCGGGAGATAGGACAGTTTCGACTGGTATTTTTTAGCGGCAATTTTGACATTTGGTTGTTAGGCGTTTTCGAGTCGACGCGGTTAATTATTCTGAATGTGACCAGCTTAACACGTTCGCTGCGACCTGCCTCGCGCCGCGCGCATGGTAGCGGCTAAACGATTTTAGGCGCTGCACAAGCGAAGCGCGGATTCGCGTCGTAAGCCTATTGGATGTGCGTTGTGTAATTGAAAACTATTTCATATATACATTTTCTTCTTCTATCTCGTTTTTTTTCGTGCAGTAACACGAAACATGTCTTGAAACCCTATTAAAGATTTTTCTGTGGGCTGGAAAAATCATCACTCGATTCAGACATATTTCCATCAGACTGCTCACTTCCATCTGAACTGGGAACATAATTGTCTGAGTCACTTAGATTCTCGATTTCACTCCCCGAATTGGCAAGAATATCATACAGTTCTTTTTCTGTAAGCCCTTTATTACGGTTACAATACGTTTTCACTCGTTTTGGACGTGAACAACCTGCTTCCACATCATCCGCCATTGCGCAATGTAAAAATAAACGAAACTTGATCCTACGCGTAAAATAGTCCAAAACATCGGTCGGACGCGGATCAGCGTCTTTCGCAGTGAACGTGTTAAAATGTCATTTTGGATTAAAAGTGGAGTTAGGCCATTTGCACCTTAAGCCGACGATATTTGGAATAAACTTGAATATTGATATTTTTGGCTCCAGTATATTAAAATGTAAATTTCATTTTTTCTATAGTGTGTCTGAACCAGAAATGTGATCAATCAAATGATTTTAAACCTGTATTAGACAGTTAGTGAATACTACAGTAACTTGTAGTTTACTAAACATTTTCCTCATGTTTCAAATTGCATATGTATATTTTACCTAGAAACTTTGAAATATGTGGTTTATGCCTAAAAAATTGAGCTGTCGCCTCCTGTCATAGGAATCGCACTAAAGTGTCAGACCAAAACATATGACTGCAAATTTTGAAAAGGAATCAGAGTCCACAGTAACAATGGAAAAGTACAGTTTAAAAGTATGAAAGTGAGATATTTTCAATTATGGAGAAATCTCTTAATCAGCCTGTCAAATTTAAAAAAAACATTCCCAGATTTACTATTTCTGTAATAAATGAATTAATGGTAAAGAGTAAATGTAAATACTGTGATGAAGAATGGAAGAAACTGGATTTTTCCCTCAAAAAGCAAATAGGTAAAATGTCAGCACCTTCATTGAAAATAAGATCAAATGGGTTTGAACGTAAAAAAGTCGAAAAGGATCAGGGTCCATAAGCGGGGTTCTCGGCCATAAAAATAACAGAAATGTCAAGTTGACGCATATCTGATGTTTGCATTTATCTATTTGAGGAAATACAGTAACCTAAATATTCGAAAATGGGGAAATTTTGAATAAAATGCCAAAGGTACGAACTTTGAGCTTTTAACCCTCAAATACTATCTAAAATATAAGTGGCATATTACTAATTATATGCCTCTTGGCCGTACAAACCATTAAATTCACTTAATCTTCATGAAATCATTACTTTATTCTATCATTTTTTTTATTATTAGGCTTCACGTCAACTGAGTATCTTCATTTATTAAAAACCGTACATTGTAACTAGACTACATTAACTTTTAAAAAATAAATTACATACATACCTTGAAAGTTCATTAGTAATTAAAGAACATTCATATACTAAAATAACAAAGAAAAATGTTGACAAAAGCTTAAAACACATGGCCTAAAGTATTTGTATGCAAGTATTTCATAGATGCAATCTACTTGAAAATTGAGTTACTTTCATGGCCGAAAATCCCGCTCTAAACACTGAACCTTTGCTGAAATCAGTAGGTTCCAGCATGCTAGGTAATATAAGAGGTTTTTGGGAAACCCTTCCAGGGAAAGTTAACGAGTGTGTACCTTTTTTAGGTTGTAGTATATCTACTTGATGTGTTTTCGTTACCACTTGTTTCAAATTAATCAAATGAAATAAGGTTTTTTAGGTATACATTGTGATTTTAGAACCCTTAGTACTCAATATTAATAACATGAATTTTTGTTGAACCTACAAAAAGAAATCGCCAATTGATATTGCGCCATGTTCCAATACTTCCAAATACAGGAGTTTGGCTTAGGAGGGTAGAATAGTTTTAATTTTGAAATGGATTGTTTGGAAAAGTGACCTTTCTGCAAAATCTTTCAGTTTGTCATAAGTTGAACCCTAGTAAAACCATTCAAAATTTATATTTTTCATACTGTTAACAGTGTCATAAATATTGATTATTAGAGTCACTGAATATTGACTTTTGAGCTTTTCTTGAGATTGTATTTTACATCATACATTGTATGTATCATTCAGGTATTTGGCAGCTGCAGAAAATAACATCCAATTTGATGCAGAAGTTACAAAAACCTACAGGAGAAGCTGGGAGATATCTGCTAAACAGTGCTGGAAGTGAGTGCTGATTTTAGCATTTATAATTATTGATTAATATTATTTTATTTTGCAACATCCTTATACTGATGATCCCCTTTCAGTATGCTGAGATACATAAATGGAGGTGATAATAAAAATAGACCCCAATGTCCTTTGGAACCATATAATCCCAGTAATGTATTGGCTATCAATGTTGCGAAAAATTTGTTAGTTAATCTGACAAAGGTATTGGCGAAATTATTCAACGATAGTGGAACTAATAACAGGGTTATTGAGAGGTGAGTCATTTGAGCCATATTCTGTGCCAGATATAATAGTTCTTGATGTGTGCCACACTGGCAACTTGACTCATAATACTTGAAGTAAAACAATATTTTGCCCCAAAGTATCATTCTTCTGAAAATGAGATTTTGCCACTGGCTGCTACATACACATAAGGGGAATCCATTAATTATGTATTTTACTGTTTTTCACAGAAAAAAAAATTGAATGATGTTTGTTGAGATTCCCCTGTCCTTGCTTCTCCCACATGTGAGATGAGACTGGACTCAAGCCCCCACCCTTTGATCGCCTCACGTAATTAATGGGCGCCCCTCTACTCATAAATTTTGTTTTCATACAAAATTTGACTTATATGGTATACATTCAGTGGCATCAAAAGTTTTTGGACACTTCTGAATTGTTACTTAAAACTGAAAAAATGAAAGGAAGGAGGTTCATACAGATGTATAATATTTAAATGTAATACGATTGCTGTTTACTTCTTTACAGGAAACGGTTTTACTCGTCTTACCAATCACAACCGCGCATTTTGAATCATAAATGGTTTACTCGCGGCAAAACTTGACAGCTGTTGTCATCAACAATTACAATACCTTTGATAACATGTAATTATGGTCTAATAGGGCATCAGATAATCTGTTACTCATGAAATAGTCTTGTCAAATACCAATCGGGTATCTACTTTTTTCCTGTGAAAAAAATCTAAAAAACAATATATTTTTAACAAAAAATATTCGTGCAGGTGCAAAAATCCTCGTCTACGACTCGGATTTTTGTTGCCACTAGCACTCATGCTTCTTGTTAAAATATTGCTTTGAAACGTGTTTTTTCGATTTTCTTTCGGAAAAATTAGATGCCTTTATGATATTACTTATGAAAGAATCATTTCTTTAGCCGACTGTCCCAAAAGAAAGGTTAAAAGGTTATGTTTTTTGAGCGTGGGTATGCATGAATGTAGATAAAAAATTCTGTTCCGCGGATTACTGACCAGAGTCTATGGATTTTTTTTATAAGGTTCGTCTTAGCAGTGCGAGCGACACTGAATACATTAAAATTTTGTAAAATGAATAATGATCTTGATTGAAAATTTTAAGTGGAAATTTCCATTTCACGGGCTACAGCTCAAACGGTTTGATGGGTTTTGACATTTGAGGTGTCTTTAGTTTTGTCTTGAAAGCGCAATAAATATTCATTCTTTTGTTACTGCAGTCGACCTTCTGTATTTTTTAAAAAGGTACTTTTTCACTTACTATGTAACATTTAAAGTTCGTCTCAAAGAAATTCGGTTGGATCGAGATCAGGAACTGGACTGGGAAATCCATTGTTTGTAATGTAGATTCCTGTTTTTTTTTTGATAAATTTTTGCATAATTTGAATGAGTATTTCTGATCCTAGCTTTGATTGTACTTATAACGAATCTTGGTCATTTGTCTATTTTTCCTGCGGTAATTTCAGCGATCAATAAGTCTTGTTATATCCTTTTCCACTAAGAATTTTGTTAATCCTGCGCAATGGAGAGTCAAAATTGAATTAAAGCACTCTGAGATCCATTATGGATGTTCCTGTTTCAGAGTTAGGATCTGCAGTTGGGCATCGCCGCTTTATGATCGCGCGGATTACCAAATTTTTTTGATTTTGAATTAATCTTTCTTGAAGGACGCGCATGTTTTGAGTCTACACACGAGACCAACGATTGCGTCAGTACTGTTAACAAAAAATCTTGGTTTCTCAGATTTCAGAGGGGCAAACGTGTTCTGGACGGACTAATCCGAATTCGATATTTTCGGTAACTAATAAGAAAGTTATGTGTATGAGGCTTGTGTTCCTACTTCCTACACCCTTCCGCAATGGTATTGAAAACTCATTGAATAGTCTTCCTCTATTCGAAACACTAGATTGTGCAAAATTTGTTTGGTCAAAAAAGAATTGGACCACAATTACAAACCTTGCGTCTCTCCATTTCCCAAATCTCCATCGATTGAATTTCTTTGGAATGAACTTGATCGGGAATTCATAAAGCAGTGTCCATCTCACAGAAAGTACTCTGAAACGACTTAACAACGTAACAGCAGTATAAAATATATGTTGTCGGACACCTCACTAGAATGCTATGAAGTTTAGCAATCATACGAAAAGTGAAAGAGGTATTTTGGTCAAAGTTATGTGTAAATATAAGTCGCAAAAGTGTTTACAGCTATCATCACTTAAGGTACCATATCATACCACGGAATAAAATAATGATCGTATTATATATATACACCTTAGGAAAAACCATTGTTATACATGGGAAATCATTTCTTGGCAACAGCGCATCGGCTCGTCTACTTTCATCGCTATTCGTACATATTTCCTACCGTTAACGCGCGTGCCGTCGTCAAGTGCGATAAGGGATTCATGACTCACTCTGCGGTTGGGTTTTGTGTAGGAAAGGTGCGTCTTTATTTAATCCAAAATATCTTAAAAATGTACTCGCAAGAAGAAAAGTTTCAAATGATAGAATGGTACATCCAGAATAATTCAGCACGCGCGGTTGTTGAATTATTTGCGGTACGCTTCCCAGATCGGCCAATTCCGTCTCACGCAACGGTTATAAATACCTACGAAAAATTCAAGAGAGTGGGCTGCTTACATAAGTGCCATAGCTGCATGCACCCTGAAGGTTGGAAACCAAAAATTAGCGAGAAAAGGAAGGATATCGAAACTGCTGTTTGTGCCGCTGCAGAAGTAAAGGGTGTTCAGATAGGGACGCTCGATGTTTGAACGGCGCGCGCGCCCAAACCGGTGGGGATACAGCTGTCAAATTTTGTGAGGTTATTAAGTTAGTCTTGACATTTAATCATGGAGCAGTACACGATTCAACAACGCGTGGAAATTGTGAAAATTTATCATCAAAACAGATGTTCGGTTCGTGAAACGTTCCGCGCATTGCGTCCAATTTATGGTGCGCATGGCCGTCCTGCTGAGTCCACTATTCGACGTCTGCTCAATAAATTTGAGAGAACTGGCTCAGTGGCAGACCAAACAACACCCGTACGGCAACGAACAGTAAGAACAATCGAGAATATTGCTGCTGTGCGAGAGAGCGTGCGTCAAGACCCGAATCAGTCATTGCGGCGACATGCACAAGAACTTGCCCTTCCAAAGACCTCAACATGGACAATTATGCGTCGAGACTTGAAATTGCACGCGTACAAAATTCAATTGACGCAAGAATTGAAACCGCAAGACCATGGACAGTGCCGTACATTAGCCGCATGGGCTCTAGAGCAGTTGCAAGTCGACCCTGCATTTGCACGAAAAATCATCTTCAGCGACGAGGCGCATTTCTGGATGAATGGGTATGTCAATAAACAGAATTGCCGTATATGGGCTGACCAAAATCCTGAAGTGACTTGCTCAATTGCTATGCATCCTGCTAAAGTGACTGTATGGTGCGGTTTCTGGGCTGGCGGCGTAATCGGTCCATATTTTTTTGAGGACGCTATGGGCAACGCGCTTACGGTCAATGGAGATCGGTATCGCGCCATGATTAATGATTTCCTGTGGCCTCAACTGGACGATATGGATCTAACAGACATCTGGTTCCAGCAGGACGGCGCTACGTGCCACACCGCACGCGCAACGCTGGATTTACTGCATGAAAAGTTCAACGGTTTCATTATTTCGCGCGGCGGCGATGTGCACTGGCCACCAAGATCGTGCGATATAACGCCTTTAGACTTTTTCCTGTGGGTCTACGTGAAGTCTCAAGTGTATGCGGATAAGCCACAAACAATTGCAGCATTAAGGGCCAACATCATTCGCGTCCTCGGACAGGTAGACGCTGAAATGTGCGGAAAAGTGCTCGAAAATTGGACCATGCGAATGCACGCTGTACAGCGCAGTCGCGGTGGCCATTTAAACGATATAATCTTCCATACATAATGTCGTCGAATGCTATTTACGATCAATATAGACTTTTAGTGCTGACTTAATTTTTTTTCCATTTTAACTTTCGAGCGTCCTTATCTGAACACCCTTTATCTGAGCCATGCTCAAGCAGAAAAATTGCTGAAATGGTACCAATAGCCGATCTCACACCCAGAACAACAAGAAACATTTTGCATCGCAACGGCTATCATAGCTTCAAGGTTGGAACGGTTCAAGAAATATTTCCTTTAAACAAATTCCGTCGAATGGAGTTTTGTGAAACGGTCATGGAGAAGGCGAACAGGGATGGAAGTTTTATTGGTAACATTTTGTTTACTGATGAATCCACATTCCCTCTCCACGGTCATCACAATCCTTCAGTCGTTCGGTATTGGTCTCGGGAAAATAAACACCTCAGTATTCCCGTCCGCACGCAGTATCCACAGAAACTGAATGTGTGGGCAGGAATTCTAGGTATTAACATTATCGGACCGTTCATTATTGATGGAACTCTTACGGCTGCAAAATATTTGGCGTTACTACAGACGCAGATTGTTCCTGCAATTAGGCAGCTTGGCGTTGATCTCGCTAATATTTGGTTCCAACAAGATGGATGTCCGGCGCATAATGCGGCGATCGTACACACTTACCTTGAAAGTGTGTTCGGCCACCGGATTATTGGCGGTAACGGAACAATAAAATGGCCTCCTAGATCACCCGATCTAGCGTCCAATGATTTTTTTTTGTGGGGTTATGTGAAAAGTACTGTTTACACTTTCAATGAGAGAGCAGACAATTTGCATAACCTACAGGTGAAAATCGTTGAAGCGCTCGGGCAAATACAGCCTTCTACCCTCTTGAGAGTTCGTCAGGAGTTTTATAACCGCCTGACATACTGTTCATTTAATGAAGGAGACGTTTTTGAGCCCCAGCTGTGAAGGACCATTTGAAACATTTGTGTTCATTATTGCGTTTTATTTTTGAGAACTTATTTTTTTTAGTGATGGGATCATTCGAATGAAAAATAATCGGTCATTCGATTATCAAAATCATTCGAGATATCTCGAATACTTCAACCAAATGATTCGAATGATAATTCACTCTTCAATCAAATGTGTGACCGCTCGAAACAAAATAAAACCGATGCTGCCGCTGCGCGTCTCGCACCAGATGTCTCGAGCGATCATTCGTGAATCATCTTTCGCATGCAGCAACGCGTGAGCAGTGAGCCCAGCCGTATCTATGAAATAATTGGCGGTCTGGCCCGAAAAGTGGTAGGCAGGGCCGGCGTTAGGAACATAGGTGTAACATAGAGTACATAGACTGTTAAGAATCAAAATATATAAATAAATGTGTAGTGTGAAAACAAAAAACTATTACTATGCATTATTGTCTAACATACGTGAGTTCTATGTTAAATGATTTCCGAGCGCACGAAAAAAAGTGGGAGGGGGGGCGGCAGAATTGGGCTTGCCCGTGACGTCAAAAGTCTTAGCGCCGGCCCTGGTGGTAGGTATATTTCGACAATTTCGACTGAAATAGGAAGAGCTACCAAAAAAATGCGCTTGAGAATTTATGTTGTCGCATCGTAATTTTATTATTATGTGTGGTAATATAATCGAATCACAAATCTAAATTTTCAAGCGCATTCTTTTGATAGCTCTTTCTATTTCGATCGAACTATTTTTTTTATTAGTTGGGAATAACAATATAGGGTGCCTTAGCAGATTTCTCTCAATAGTTTTTTTAACGTATATTATGTGCCAAGTGGCGAAAGTTTATTTCAATTTTATGCATATTAGTTTATCTGATTATTAATTATATTTATAACAGCAGTAATTTATATTGATTTGATAATTTCATATTCTATCTTGGTGTTAAAACTTAAAACCTCAAACTCAATACATGATTGGAATTGAGCATTCATTACCTATAACTTTATTCCTTGCAACAAAATATGTAATAATAATAATAATAAATCTGCTTGGAAATATGTAACATAATAACAGAAAAATAAAACTAATGTTAACAAAAAGTTTATTTAACTTTGGTTTAAAACTGGAAAAATAAACATTTATTCCTAAAACAAACTTATTGTTCTGAACAGTAAAATAAAACTTAATTACATTTCTTAAACTTTGATTTAAAACTGCAAACATAATATATTATTATATAGGTTAATTTCTAAAACAAAATATTAGAATAATAATAAAATAAAATAATAAAATTAAACTTCATGACATAACAAAATATTTGTACCATACAAACATAAACTCTGAATTAATAATACTAGTCTAAATTAGAACTATTTAAAAAAATTATTTGGTCTAAGTTTTTTGGAGATAGGCGATTTCGTCTTAAGTTGGTTAGTTGTCCACATTTCGAAAATATCCTCTCCGAGGGTACAGATGTACCAGGAACTGTTAAATATTTAAGTGCAAGCTCATAGAGCTCAGGCATACTTTGTTTGTGTGCTTTCCAAAATTCTAATGGATTTTCTTTTCGATTTACAAAAGGCAGTTCCAAGTATTGACGAATTATTAAGGTAGCAACAGTAGTAGGGGTAACTGTCGACTTCACTGTAGATAACCTTGTGTCAAAATTTAACCAAACTCCGAAATCATTGTCTTTGGATGGATTTTGATTACTTAAGTCATCTTCCTGTCTATTTTCCTCCAAGTCATTTATATTTAGTTCATTTTTCTTTCTTATCAGTTGGACCAGTTCTTCAAACACCCATTTCTGAGCATTAGAAGAATTCGTTTCGTTCCCGAATCCCAACTTTTTGAACCTTGGGTCCAAAAATGAACACTTCGCGACAGTCTTATTTACTTCAAGAATTCCAAGACGACGTGAAATAATATCTACTAAATCATTTTTTAAAAGAGTGCAGACCTCATTTTCAGTACTGAAACGTACTAGCGCATGCTGCAATCCTCTTATGAGTGGTATTATTGAAGACATTGTAGGGTACTTTTCGCCAGATAGGATTGTGGTGATAACCTCCACTGGCTTCAAAATAGGAATTAAATCTTTTATTATAGTCCATTCTTGAGCATCTAAAAATTCTGGAGCACTGGAAATACTGGTAATAGTAATACTCAAGGAATCTTTTATCACCAATAATCTTTCCAGCAGCAAAAAAATTTTTTTTGTTAGAATATCTTTTTATTTTCGTTACACATTTTTAAGGGTGTACTATTTTTTGTTAGAGTGGGTATCTTCTTATTTTTGTTATGAGACGCAACCTTTATTGCTACAAAACCAATTATCCATTCATAAAAATAAGTAGAGTGATTTAGGTGATTTCGTGAAATCTTGAAATCACCGAAATCGGTTCACAGGACGTCCAATCGAACTGGTGCGTAATGCGCGCATCTACTGTACTTCTTCTGTCGACTCAACGCATACTGAAATTTGCAGCAGACCGCAGACCTGTATCACGAATGAGAATAATAGGCAGATACGCTGTGTTGCCAATTTGAGTAGAGCTTCCCGAATTGTGGGGAATTTAGAGTTAAGTGTTGATTCATTCAAGCTTTTAATCAGCATGGCCTAGAGGTTAGAACTTCATAAAGATAACATTGAAGCTGAATGCTGCTGGAGTATAGTGTTTCGAATATTCACAGCGGAGCGGGACACTATACTCGTTCAATGGGTCATCAAGCCACAGTCTTTTCAACAAAGAAATTATTTTACGAAAATGCGTTATATTTTTACGATTTTGTCGTCACCAAATCTCTGTTTCTCAAAATGTACGTCTATTGTAGAATTTTCAGCAAACTAAGCAAGAAACGTGATCTAGTATTTACTCAACATTACGGATATCTCGAAATACATTAAAAAATGTGACCTAGATACCTAACTGCCCCAAGCTCTTTAAATATAACACCTTAAACCAGGGTTACCAGGTGCTCAGTCACGTTGATTGTCATGTTGTACTGCGCAAGTCAGCAAACAATCTGGCGTAATAAACGTTAGGAATCATCAGTTATTGCCAGATTCCCGAATATCGGGCACCATAGTACCCGTTATAGTTGTCCTTCAAAGTTGTCAAATAGCCCCTATGGCGCAAATTCGCCACACCAGGCAACTGTGCTATAAACAAACCCTGTTTATCACTACTATTTGATAGTCATATGGTAGTTGTAGCCCTATCTAGCGGTCCATGATTTCTCTCAATACTGTTGTATCTCTACTGGCAACAAGAATAGGGATTACAAAATCATTTATACAACAATATACAAACATGAAAAATATGATTTGAACCATGAAAAATTAATACAATTTTAATAGTTTGAACTTTTTTCATTTTTGGAATACTCTTATGTGGAATCCGTAGCTATTTTTCCCGAAATTTGGGTAGACTTAGATTTCTTAGAAATATGACATATTGGTATCGGCAACTCTGCGAATGGGAGAAACAAATCGCATTTGTTGAGCGCATCCGTCTAAGCGGCAGGCGCCAGCGCCCGTTCTGCCATCTCTCTTTTATCACTCTTCTACTTTAACCCGTTGTCCGTCACACTCCGACGCTGCCAGATAGGGTCCTACAATCGAGGTTCTTTCACGCACCTACATACTTTTGTATATTTCCATCTCTCTTCCTCATCATAATGTATAATAATGGTTTTTCCGAAGGTGTATATATATATATATGTTTAATTGTATTTCTGTTATATGACCCAGTTTCGTGTTTTTTTCATTTTTAAATACCAATCATACCGTGTCCGAACACTCTTGAACGGCAGTGCACATACTTGTAGATTGAGAGATAAACGGGATACGGAAAGCCTTGAAGTGGAAGCCCTTTACAAACAGGGTATAACAGTTAAAGATGTTGAAAAACTAAATTGGAATTGTCCAATTTTGGTTTGTGCAAGCAGTTGCTGTACAGAGACGCTTAGGGTAAGATTATTACAAAACTAAACTGTCTTAGGTAATCTTCATTATTTTTTTTTTAATTTCGCAGTTATATATAATTTTCCAATACAAAAGCAGCTATTCATTGTTGTAGAGATTTTTAAATGTGAGAAAACAGTTTTTTTATATCATTACAATGTATGTAATTAAAAAATTAACCTTTACAGATTGGCGAGGAAACTAAAAGGCATTATACCAAGGTTTGTCATATGGACTGTAATGATGTGTCTCAAATAGAATATGACATCATTGGTAATCCACTGATAGCACAATGTGCAGCTATAGATAATCTAACCAGACACTGTTTGCGATGTGGTTGTGATTTTTCCATGCATATGCACATTAAATACATCACAAAGTTGAAGGACATCGTTTTTCACGATTCAGTCATAACAAAGACCATATCTGAGAAAGAAAATTTACTTTCCAAAACTACCAGGGAGATCGAGGAATTAATGAACAAAGATGATGATCTGAAATTAGAACAGGAAGTGATAACCACATTTTGTGCAAAGCTTGCTAAGTTCTTGAAAGGAAACGCCATTATGGCTTTTAGTGACAGCCTGAAGGAGTACATCATGTATAGACTGAATCAGTAAGTGTTCTAGTTATTTTAGTTCTAGTTAGTAAATTTTTTTTTATTTTTTGTAAAATAAGTTCAGTGTTATATTTGGTTTGTTCTATCAGCCAGTCTGATGACTTAATATTGCCCTATGGATAGGGAAAAGACAAATTGTCAAATTCGTTACACCTGAAGAACTTTGAAAATTAGTTGGGAAAAAGGCGTTTATAAGATGTGATCTTGGGGGTCACCAGGTGACCCCTTCACCACTGCGAGTGGAGCAGATGCAAGCAAAGGCATAATTGAGCGTCTGGAAGATGTGAGGAGTCAGACTGAATAAAGAAACATTGGAACGTACACTTGGCGAGGCTGAATTGAAGAATCATAAAAAAATTAAACCAAAAATTAGTACACAACAGGAAAACATACGGAGAAGCATATTGGTGACTATTGACTCCCTAACTGAGGAAAACAACATGTGATGACATTGAAGTATTAAGGAATGGATTAAAAAATAGAAGGAGCAATACTGCCCCTACAAGATACTATGACACTTCTGATGAAATACATAATGGGCTATACAACAGCCTATATGAAACCTTGACGAAGGGTATCTCAACTCTGTTTGAATATTTATGAATCGATGAGGGCGTTGCGTACAAAGTGAATGGTCAACCTACTTGACGCCATTTTTTATTTATTTAATTTTCATTCAGATAAATGAGTACTTTTACTATCTTCAGATCGCACTATTCAACAGAAAATTTTGTTACACTCCAGGTGTTTGAGTTGTTTTCTAAATCAGCGAGTATTTTACTTTTTTGTACACCACTTCAAAACATCGTTTATGTAATATGAATATATATTTGCGTTACTTGTAACGTTCGAATATTTTTAGAGGGGTTAACATTGTGAAAAATTTTAAATTTCTCGCCATATTCCGAGTTTTTGTTTTGTAACTCCGAAGGCGTAATTAAAAATTTTTTAGGTGACCTGACATTTGTGTAAATTAGAATGAACACGGCCATCAAAATTTTCATCTTCTTCAATATTCTCTCTGAAACGCACCCAAATTTCAAGCTAGCAAATATGCAATCGTTATCAATTACATAATTGTACTGGTTGCAAATTAAAGTTTAATAATTATAAAATGACGTAGGGTATTGAAAACTTTGTGCTAAACTCATTTATAAGATTACTCATAAAATAGTCAGTCAAAGAATAAGCCAAGAACGTGCGAAACGTAATATTCTATTTCTTATTTCAGAACTCTCTCATTTCACTGAACTATATATAGACTTCACAATTATGTTTGCAACACCACTTCTGGGGCGGATATAATCATTTTGCTCTCTTCAAATACATTGCCCATCTGGAAAATATTTGCATTATAGGTCCTTTTACGATTGGCCGATTTTGTTTAACATGTTTTTCAATTATTATGGGAAAGAAATCGCTGGTTAATATACTAAGTGACATATAAATCCGAACACCCAGTTTAAATGGTTTTATTTTAACAAAATTTTGTATAAGTACTTAATGAAGCATAATAAGTAAATGATAAAAATTTCAAAATAATTGCACTGCTTTAAAGCCCTTTGACCTTTAATAATGTGTGGATGCACCCTGATGTGCTACGCATTCTCCAACGCGCCTAGGCGTGCTTCTGATCAGGTGGTCAATGTCCTCCTGTGGTATCTCATTCCAAGCAACCACCAACTCCTCTCGAAGTGCTTCTAGAGTCTGAGGAGGACGTTGCAAATTGAGCAATCTCCTACCCATCATATCCCACACGTGCTCAATTGGAGATAAGTCGGGAGATCTTGGTGGCCATGGTAACAATGTGACATCATTATGTTGAAATAAGTCTATTGTGACTCTTGCAACATGTGGTCGGGCATTATCTTGTTGGAAAGTTGGATCTGCCAGGGTGTCAAGATAGGGTAAAAGATGGGGTTCTAGAACTTCGTGGATATAACGCTGCGCGTTCATGTTACCTCTGATGAAGATTAAAGGTGACCTGGAACCATAAGCTATAGCACCCCAAACCATAACTCCAACAGTGTGATGAACATGTCTTTCAACCAAAAACTGTGGATTCCTCCTTTCACCACGTCGCCTTCTAACCCTGGCACCACCATCGTGCATGCCTAAACAAAATCGAGATTCGTCACTAAAGACAATACTGTTCCATTCCTGATCCCAGAGTGACCGTTGTCTGCACCACTCAAGGCGATTACGTCGGTGTTCTCGAGTTAAAGGGAGGACCCAGTGTGGCCGGTATGAAAACAAGCCAAAACTTCTCATTCATCGGTAAACACTTCGTATGCCAATAGGTCTTCCGTGTTCTGTAAACCATTCGTTTGCAATGGACCTGGTAGTGGAGAAACGGTCCCTTAGGGCCAATAATCTTAGGCGGCGATCTTCACGGTCTGTTGTTCTACGGCGGCGTCCAGTGCCCCTTGCTCTTTGCGTACGTCCTTCTCGAAGCCATGCCTGACAACACCTAACCACAGTGTCTACACTTTTTGCACTCTAACTGCAATTGCCCGAAAAGAAAGTCCAGCTTCCCGAATTCCCACTATACGGCCCCTATCAAACTCACTAAGTTGACGAAATCGTACAGGTCTCCGTACTCTAGGCATCGTAACCGATCGTAAAGGATGTCAAGAACCAAAATCCGCCAACGTTGATTCTTTACTGCGGCTGAAATATTCATTTTTAGAGCGTTAGTGAATTAAAAAAAAGCAGTATAAAAACCGGAATGTCCAACTGATACGGCTGAAATTTTTTTCGCTTGTTATTTACAGTAAGATAAATACATTCACCAACTTTTATTAAAATAAAACCATTTAAACTGGGTGTTCGGATTTATATGTCACTTATAATAACATAAATAATCATAAGACTTCAAGGTCACTTTTGTTATGCTTATGACAAGGCCTTATGTGTGTGACTATGGTTATGACAAGTTGTATAAACGCATTCATAAGAAATACGAATGTAAACTCTTATGCTCATGTCTATGGGGTTATGACTATATACACCTAAATATTGTTTGGTATATTGCTATAAAACATTTGATGAGATTTTGAAATTCAATGGTGTTTACTTTGCTTGCAGTGATCAAATAATAAGAGAAGCAATTTTAGTCCTTACACGATTCATAATTTGACAAATTCTGCTTAATGCCACTGATTTGCCGACTAGTGAGAAAGTTCTGTATGAACAGCAGATTAGCTCTCAGTAACTAGTCAGAAACTGGGCGAACAAGTAACACCTCTCTGATTCTGATTTTGACAGTCACCAAGTTTCAACTTCTGTACTAAGAATATATTGTCCTATAGGTTTGTACTTTTATTGTTTGTATGATGTAATCATACATGAAAAACTTATAGACTATGGGGCACAAACGACAAGGTTACATTGGCCACCCCGTTAAAGTTGATTTTGTCCTTAAAGTTGGGACTTTCATTTACAGAGCATATAGGTCAAGCAATAACAAGTAAATTTTCCTAGTAACATATACACCAAAGCTGTAGGGTGTCAGGATATGTTTCGAAAAAATCGGTATGAGCCAACCCAGCCCTGCAAAGGTACCACGTGTATCAGAATCCAAAGCATGCGCTATGCTTATTTACAAATCGGAATTGAAAATACCGAAATTAGTACATTCCTATAGCAGTAACGTTATTTGTTAGTTCACGGTGAACGTCTTCAAGATGTTATTGATACTTCGCGAGAGTATTTCGAAAGTGAAGTTTTTTTTAATTCTTTCTTAGGAAACAGATCTCTTTTGGCCTTGATAGCGGCGAAACAGAAGAAGAGTTGAAGAAAATGTTAAATGAGTTTGAAGAAACAAAGAGGGTTTTCAAAGAAATGCTTGATCTGGATGAACCAGTTGATTGGGACGACAATCCACTGAAGCATATAGAACAAGGATATGGAGAACTTGTCAGTATATCAAATAACAAAGATCTTATCAGCTTATATGAAAATGAAGTTGTAGGTAGTGATGGGGCTTTCAAGGTTAGTTGTATTTTGAATGAATCAAAAACCTATTCTTCAAATAGAATCGTTAAAATTTCATATTGGAGGGAGCAATATCGAATTGTGATGTTTTTGAGGTGTCATCAGATAATGTTTTTGCTAATGTTTCTTCTACTACTGTAATTTTTATCAAACCACGTTTCTAGGTGAACGATTATGTGCATAAGGCAGTATTTAGAAAGAAAGACTTCAAGAAGGATTTTGATCAAGAAAACATCAAGAAGCAGTGGAAGGACAAGCAAAACAAGAAGAAGAAAGGTGATAGTTTTTTTATAGGGGGCTGATATGTTTAGCTCATGAAATATTAAGATATGAAACTAATGTATAGATCTTTTCACAATAAGTAAACAACTAACCAGGTGGAGCTTAACTTTCATAAAAGAAATTGAACACCAACTATTTTTAACACAGCTGCTACTCAATCACGCATACATTAACTGGATAATAGAAGACCGTTCTTTTCGTTCACTTTTTGAAAGTACTCCATTAAATTTAGCACAAATGGTTGACATTGTCCACTAGTTGTTTCCTCAGATATTGCTGTTTTATGTCCGACATCAACAAAAGGTAAACTCAAATTACACCCCATAATAAGAGAGTTGTCACACTGACAGAGGCAAGCATAGACAAAACTAAACGTCTGTGTGAGTTTACATAAACGAACGTCCATGTGGAGTTGCAAATGACATATTTATAGTTTTACCCTGACTTACTAAAATCTAAAACAACTATACGGTTATTTCTATATATGGTTGCTCAACGAAAAGGTCGCACCCCGGTGTGTGACTTCTGGTATATTTTGGGAAACACGTTAGGACACGACAATTTTGATTTCTAGGGGGGCGTCTTTTCATCTATACAGGGTGATCCAGAAATAAGATACACTTTAGATTTATAAATGAAAATCCCCATTTTTTTTAATTTTTAGATTTTCCATGAAGTTCTTAGTAACTTTTGTATAATAAAGTTCATACCTATCTTCAATCGTTGTGAAGCTATTTGAGTTTATAATAAAATTCTAGAAATTGTGATAATAAGGAATCATATCGTGAAAATAATAATCAATATAGCTCCCATAGTAACAAAAATTAAAAACAAGTCTCCGAGTATTAAAAAAACAACAAACAACTTACAGTTTACACGCACATTGAAGATAAAGTAAAAATTAATTTGCTATAAAGAGGTAGGTCAATCTGGTAATATGTGCTGAACGTAGTGTCCATTTGCCTCCATGCAATAATAAAGATTTTGTTCGAATCTATTCTTCACATTTTCAAGCATGTCTTGAGTTTTTGTCTACATGCAGCCGTAATCCGCTGACAAAGATCTTGAATCGAATCTGGCTTCGTACTAAAGACTTTACTTTTCAAATGCCCCCGAAGAAAGTAATCTAAAGGACTTAGCTCCGGAAAATCTAACATGTCCAAGTACGTCTCGCCCGTCAAGTTTCCAAGAATAAAGAACAGTTTTACAATATAATTTCCGAAAATGCCGGCGCACACATTTATTTTTTCATGATATTGCGAGTGTACCTCTCGAAACAAATGTGGATTCGAGTCACTCCAATATCGACAATTATGTCTATTTACAGCACCATGTAAATAGAACGTACACTCACCCGAGAAACAAATAGTAAATAACATATTTGCATTGTTGATTAAACCTTGGGACATTAATTCGCAAAACTCCAACCTTCTATCAAAATCGTCTTCATTAAGCTTCTGGACAAGTTTTATCTTGTACGAGTGAAATGTATTGTCTTTCAAAATTCTTTGTACTGTTGAGCGTGTAAATGAAGAAGTAGCCAGTCCACGAGTCATTTGGGTGTCAAGTGCTGCGCGTTCCAAAACTGCTATTTCTGCGACTTCATTCCTTATAGCGAATATTAGACACAGATCCAGTTTCTTCAAATTTTCTGATCAACTTACCCACATACTTAATCGTTGATATTTGATTCCATTTTGGTAATACAGTTTTGTTATTTCTACCCTTTCTTGATATCAGTAAGTCATTGTTCAATATTTATCACAACTTAACAATTTTAAATGAAAGACAAAGTTTGGCTGATGCTAAATGTTCTTGCTGGTATCCATAATTATCATTTTTTGCCGTGCATTCCATTATTATCAGTATTAAGTTAGTCGAATATAAACTCAAATAGCTTCACAAGGATTGAAGATATGTATAAACTTTATTATACAAAAGTTACTAAAAACTTCATTAAAAATTAAAAAAGTTGGTTTCCATTTAAACATTTAAAGTGTAGCGCAATATCTTATTTTCGATTACCCTAGGAATCAAAATTGACGTGTCTGAGCGATTATTCCAAAATATACCAGGAGAGTCACAAATGGGAGTGCGACCTTTTTGTTGGCCCACCCTGTATGTTGGCGGGTGCTACGGTTAACGCGGTCAATTCGGATATTCCAAGTTTCACTTACGCGTTCGAGCATTTCTAATGGTATTTGGTAAGTACCGCGAGTGAGGCAGGTTTCTAATCGGGCTTATTCCTGTAGACTTTCAACTTATTGGGTGCTCGTATCACACTACAAACATCCCAAAAGAAAATTCTTGGGGTATATAGGACAAATTAGTTGCTTACTGGATTGGTGTCGCGGTAAAACTAAAGGCTGTAAATAGTGCATCATCGCTAGGCAGATTATGTGTACGATAGGTTGTTGATGTTCCTTGTCCAGCGCTAATTTTCGTAAAACAATTGAACAACGTATAGAAACTCTGATAGTCAGAAATTCCTTGTTGAAAATAAATTTCTTCTGTTTGTCTAAAATCGCAACTAGTAATTGTGGAAACTATCAATTTGAGTAAAATTCTTATTATTTTATTCCTAAAATTATCGGCCTTTTTTCTCAAAATTCTTTAACATTTCGGATTAAGTGCGCTCAACAAAGAAGCTATCACAAATCGTTAGCAACCCCGGACACGCAGGATGAAGTATTCAGAAAGAAGGCTTTTAGCACTATTTGTGCTGCACCAGGTATTTTCCAACTAGTCAGGCGTAGAGCACGGGCTTGTGTTCAATACAGAGGAGGTCACTTTCAACACCTACTTTAGGTTGGTTGTTATAGCATTTATTCAGCATTATTTTCTGTTTCCCAATGTTAAGTCCTCATAAATTTATAAATAATCACGCAAGTTGTATCAAATTTAATGTTTATTGCTGTCGTCTTTAATTTTTATTCGCTTTATTTATCTTTGAAATAAACGTTTGTCTTTTTTTAAGAAATTTCTTTATCTATGAAAACAATGACTATGCGGAAAAACCAGCAGCGTGCACAAAAGAGGTTTAATGAATAATACGCTTCTACGTTAATGATTAATTATTAGACACGCATATTATTCAATTAATGTTGTAATGGGGTGCCACAGCTTTCTTTACATGCCATATGGTGTTTCCAATATCAAGTTTCGCGGTGTTTTCGGAATAAGGGAGGTTAAACTTTTCATAATAATAGTTTAGGATTTTACTTCAAATAGTCAAATCTAAATATCTCTAAAATGAGTGATCTGTCAAAAGTTCCTTAGGTAACAAAATTTGTGGAAAATTGAACGCTATTTTACAAAATGCACTTCTTTTCTCCGAAAATGCCAGTGGCGTAGAAAATATTTCCTATTAGGTGCCTAGGTTCCCCAGTTTGTAGGTCCCTGGTTAAGTTTGGAACAGGCAACTCTGTGGGTTTGTTGCTTATGATGTGCTCACTGAACGATTAAAATATTAACTGAGTATCCTTACCTGCTCGATAGATATAATTTTTTGCAATTTCGTAAATAAAACTTCATTACCCTCTATGCCGACAGCGGAGAATCTTTGGACCTGTATTTCTTGGAACTTTTCTTGTTATATTTTGATGTACTTTCAAACTAGAAATACTGAAAATCCCTGTATATATCATCTATTTTAGGTGGTAATGAGCAGCAGCAGAAGAAAGACGAACCTAAATCTGATAAGAAAAAAAAAGGTAGTTTAATTTAGTTTTCACAAACCTAACATTTGCACCATCAGAAGTAAATTCTGCCTAAACATTTCTTTTTTTACAATCACATTTTCTCTATAACTCTCCAATGGCTGGCCAGTAGTGATAAAATAAAAAAAATTATAAAACCATGTATGTTTATGTATACGAATCATTGTATTTTAAGAAAGGCAATGTATTTTTTATAGGATACAGAGAGAGCTATTTAGCTCATGAAAAATTTAAAAGGAATACTAATTTATAGGCCCTTACATGGATTTTAGCAGTGATAGGTCAATACCTTATTACGAAATAAGTAAACACACCCACTAACTGTGCCATGTGCGGAGATTCATAAGGGAAATTGAACACTAATGATTTTTAACGCAGCTGCTACTCGCTCTTGCTAATAATTCGATAATAGAATGATTATTTTCATTCACTGTCTGAAAATACTTCCAATAAATATAAAACAAACAGCCAATATTGTCCACTAGTTGTTCCCTCGGGCATTGCTGTTTTTTTTTGTCTGACATGAACATAAGGTAAACTCAGATCACACCCCAGGATTAATGAGTTGTCTCATTGAAAACATAGACAAAACAACGTATGCCTGTGAGGTTAGACTAACGAACGTCCACGCACAGAGGCAGGTGACATATTTAAAGTTTCCCTGTAACCCACTAAAATCAATGAAAAAAATCTATATCCGGTTCTTTCCAACAGTGAACTTTCGGCAGTCCTGATACTCAGAAATTCCTTGTTGGAAATAACCATTATATATTTTTTAGGACCAACGCCAAATGATCAGAACCTAGAAAATAAAGGCATGTCTGTACAGGCAGAGAAGAAAAATAAAGGTATGTCAAGTTTTCAAGTAATGTGAATGTTTGAGATATTTACCTTTGATTGATCCTGCCTTAGTATGATTTCTACTTTTCATGAAACAAGATTCCTTTTTTGGATGTTGGTTATCATGAAAATATGTATCTATTTTAGGTGGTAATGATCAGCAGGATAAGAAAGAAGAGCCTAAATCTGATAAGAAAAAGAAAGGTATGTTATTTTAGTTTGGTTTTTACAAAGCTAATACCATTATATTTTTTTAGGACCAACGCCAAATGATCAGAACCTAGAAAATAAAGGTATGTCTGTACAGGCAGAGAAGAAAAATAAAGGTATGTCAAGTTTTCAAGTAATGTCAATGTTTGAGATATTTACCTTTGATTGATCCTGTCTTAGTATGATTTCTACTTTTCATGAAACAAGAATCATTTTTTGGATGTTGGTGATCATGAAAATATTATGTATCTATTTTAGGTGGTAATGATCAGCAGGATAAGAAAGAAGAGCCTAAATCTGATAAGAAAAAGAAAGGTATGTTATTTTGGTTTGGTTTTTACAAAGCTAATAATTTACGTGTCGATAGTAACTTTCGCATAAACATTGCTCGTTTTACAATCGCATTCTCTATAATTCTCCAATGATAGGAGTGATACAATTAGAAGTAATGTCAAAAAAGTATATGTTTATGTATTTACTCTACCTGACCATATCAGAAAAATACTTTGTTGAACACTGCAAAGTCTGGTAGGTTCAGTATTCATGATTCAATTCGTAATGGGTGACATTTAAAGGTCCATTTTCCAAAGTAAAAAATAACTTTATAGTGTTATTTCTATATGTTGGCGGGTACAACGGTTAAATGATATTCCAATTTTTAATGATGCGTTCGAGAATTTTTAGTTGTGTGTGAGGCAGGTTTCTAATCCGGCTTATCTATGTAGACTTTCGACTTTACATAGGGTGTTCCTATCAAACTACAAACACACCAAAGGAAAATTCTTGGTGTATATAGGAGGAATTAGGAGCTCACTGAATTGTTGTCGCAATGAAACTAAAGGCTGCAAATAGTGGATCATCTCTATGCAGATTATGTGTAAGGTCGGTTGTTCATATTTCTCGTCGAGTGCTAAAACAGCTGAAAAACTTACGAGACTGCCGGGATAAGTGTTGCTATGAAGATATGTCGGACCGAATACTGATTAGAAATAACATGACCGGTCAAAAGGACTGATGTGTTTTATGTGAAAAAATTCATATTTATATATCACCCCTTATTTTGACCGATTCTGACGAGCCTCGAGGGTGGCAATTTAGATGTTTTCTGTAATTCCAGGTGCAATTGCCAAAGAACAAAATCATGATAATCAGCATAAGAAAAAGAAAGGTAAGAGATATTTTTTGTTCCACAATACTGATACATAAAATATATATACATATTTTGCTGAATTACACCATTGGTTAACGTATTCTCCAAAAAGAAGCCCAACCGTATGTTGTATTTGGACATTGATTTACAATTTCTATCGCCGCAGCTATGCTGCCAAGAGATCGCAGAAATTCTCGAAGCAATAAACCAGACTTCATTTTCTTTTAAAAGAAATTTTTTTAAGCGTAACTTCATCTTTCTAAGCACTTCCCAATCTCCCCCGTATTTTTTCCTAAGATTTGTTATTATTAGAACGACGGCAAAGGAAATCGTATAATCTAAACAGTCCGAAATATGACAACGTTGGAGCCAAAGACGGTGGACAACAGGTATATAATTGTATGTATACGTGGCTGGTGGCGTCACGGTACGTATCGCTGCTTTCTCGTATACTCTACTTTCAATTATGTTGGGCGTATCTTCTTGTGGAACATGTTAATGCATGATTTACACATCTTTTTCCTCCAACTCAATTTAATCGTGTAATTGTGTAGATGGCGATCATAACAAAGGCTCAGACGAAAATAAAGACGGCGGAGCGATACCCAAAAAACAAGGAGAGGGGAAAAAGAAAAACAAGAAGCAAAAAGAAAACAATGATGTTATGGATAAAAAGTTAAAAGACGTCAGTGCAGAGGAACTAAAAGAAATCCTTGATCAGAAATTGAAGCTCATAGAGCAGCAAAAAGAGAAGTCTAAAAAAGCCGCAAAAGGTAAGCAAACGGAAAATATTTTTGATAAACCTTTATACCTTTACAGCATGAACTATAACTAGAATTTACAAACGCAGGTGGGGACAGGTTGGACATTGACAAATATTCTCGAGAATATCTCTATTCCAATTTTTCACGATTAATAATAATAATAATAAGAATAATAATAATTTTTATTGGAATGTTTATATGTACATAAAAATATAGAAACGACAACATTCCAAACGGAGAGAGGATTCGCAGGGCCATTTTTCACCTCCCCCTAAAAAGTTAATTTCATGAGCGTTTTTTAAAATCAACAGAATGATTAGTATTCACAACAAATATTATGCACAACACAGTATATAATACGATATAGTCTGAGTGTTAATGGAGGGTAGTGTAGCAAGCACCATAAATTTAATTTGTGGATTCAAATCTTTGCAGCTATAGTAGCACTTTTTTCATCTCATTTCTGAAGTTTTGGATGAAAGGTGCTTCAAAAAGTTCTAAATGATCGTTTAGTAGATATGGTGCCGTGTAAGTAAAACATTTTTTGAATTTAATGTTGTATGAACTGGAATATTGAAGTATTCATAGTTGCGTAAGGAAACTTGGCGGAGTGAACATCTCTTCTCCAAAGCAATAAACAGATATCTGGGTAATTTATATTTTAAAACTTTATATAGTAGAGTTCCATACTGAAGTAATACACGATACTTGAATTTTAAAAGATTTTCTCTCACATAATATCTAGTAACATGTTCTTGTATATGTATATCTTTGAAACAGAATCTCATGCAGCAGTTTTGTAATACTTGAATTTTATGCTTCATTTCTTCCGTCAGAAAATTATAATATACTGTAGCTCCATAGTCTAGGTAAGTGAGGATTAGTGCATTGGTAAGCCTTAATTTTATATCGCTGGTTAAAACATGTTTGTATCTCCAAAGGGACTTGTATTTACAATAGCATACTCGACGTTTATTAATGACATGGTTCTCAAAACTTAAATTTGTGTCCAACAAAATGCCTAAATTCTTAGTCTCCTCTACAATTTCAACAGATGTATCACCTAAAACAATGGCTGTACTCATCAATCCTTTAAATTTTGAAATATTTAACTTAGAACCAATGCAGCAAGCTTTAGTTTTTGTGGGATTCAGTTTGAAACAATAATTTTTGGAATAGTTTGCAATCATTTCTAGATTTACATTTAACTCTTTAATCAATAAATTAACTTCATTTGGCTTGCAAGCTTTATACATTTGTACATCATCAGCATATAGATGTATATTCCAATCATGTGATATAAAATTTAATAAATCAGATGTATAGAATGTAAATAGTAATGGACCTAATACACTTCCTTGCGGAACACCAGAAATTACATTTTGTAAAGTGGACATTTTGTTAAATATCTTTGTGCATTGGAACCTGCCAGTCAGGTAGTTGTTGACCCACAGTAAGGCATTACTAGACAAACCATAATATTGTAGCTTTTTACATAATACTTCATGGTTGATCATGTCAAATGCCTTACTGTAATCTAACTTCACCAATACGGTCACCATACCATCATCCATGACTATATCGCTAGTTACTTTTATAAGTGCTGTGGATGTGTTGTGTAGTTTTCTGAATCCCGACTGTGTATCGGGAAGGATTTCATTTACTTCTAGATGGTCACGAAGTTGGTCACCTACCACTTTCTCTGCAAGCTTGGACATCACCGGTAAGGTGTTTACTGGTCTCAAATCCTTCATCTGTATAGCGTTATTGACTTTAGCTAGTGGCATTACAACTGATTTCTTCCATAATGTTGGTACTTCTCCTGTGTTCAGGGATTGATTTATGATTTCCGTTATTTCACTTTTGCAAAAAGAAAATACATTTTTGAGCATGCTTGTGGTAATACCATCTATACGAGCAGCATTTGATCTCACTTCTCTCAGTTTCTTTTCAATATCATCAGATGTAACTAGATGGAACGAACTTTTAGTTACGAGTGACTTTTTCTGCCCAGATGAAGTGTTAAGAAATAACTCATCAGGTTGAATGGTTGGCAACGAGTTCACAAAGTGATTGTTGATGGCTTCTGCGTCTTCAATGCCCTGAGATATCTGATTAGTGGATTTTTGATGTATATTCCATTTAGCGAAGTCTTTCCATAGTTGCTTGGGATTATTCCTGTTCTTATTTAGTTGATATTTTATATAAGCTGTTTTTTCATTCCTTAAAGCCACACCTGAGTAATTTCTACATAAAACAATCGATCTGTTTCAGATCTAGTTCTTTTAAATTTATTGTAAGCTTTTCGTTTTAAATTTATTATACATTTTATTGTATAGGCGACGTACGGCTTGTAGAACTTATGAGGTGTAATTCTTTTCATCAGAACATGTACGTCATACAGCAAGGTAATGTTCTCAGTAAGATGGAGGACTTTATCATCAAGCCTTTGTAGATTATTTATATCATGCCAGTTCACAGCAGTTGCATCCTCAGCAAATTCATCATAATTAAAATGGGAAAAGTCACGACAATAAAATGTTGTAGGAGTGTATTCTGGAATTTCGATCTTCAATTCACAGAAGCATAACCTGTGATCAGTTATATCTACCATGCTTAGACGTTATAGCTACCATGCCTATAGTGCCACCACGTGCCACTTTTGCGCACATGCAATGTATTTGATACAAAAATTACATCAATCATTGTAGCTGAATTCTTGGTAATTCTTGTGGGTTCATTAATAACCTGAACGAGATTGAATAATGGCATGGCTTGAAACATTTTTTTACTGGGATTGGAAGACTTATCGGTGAGTAATATAATAATGAACCGTGATTCAGCCAGACATTTGACTGTGCGGTTTAATGTTGAATTGCAGATATCACAAAAAGGGAATCTTTAATAGAAATGAATGTCTTTTACTTTAATTTGCAATAAAAAATAATGGAATCTTACTAGCAAAAAAGTTATGAGACTGTATAAAATATCAAGATTGTAACTAGCGCCATCTATATACTATGTTGACAAATAGAATATAGTCTACTCTTTCTACTCCTCATCCTCATGTTGATATCCCAAAAACAAACAGATGTAGATAGAGAAATAGCGATTTTGAAAATGAAACTTCGACACCCTATATCTGCTTTGGCTCATAATAATTATTTTCGCCCTTTATATTGATACTGTTCTAGAAGTATGATGAAGGTTGTTTGATATTACGTTTTTTTTCTAGCTGATCCTAGCCAGGCACCTAGATCTCGTACTCCACCACCACCTTATACAGCTTGTAAGACAGGTCCTGCCGTTTCTGCACCTTCTTATCCACCTCAGAATTATGCTAGTGGAATGCCTCAACATCCATACTATCCTGTTAGGAATCTGGTCAATAATGGACCAGGTAGGACTAAACCTCTTAAAGCACCTATCATTTAAAGGAATCAGTGGGTCATCCACAGACTACTAAAGAATATTCTTTAGTAGTCTGTGGGGTCATCCTTATATTTGTGTTACACTTGTTCATTAAAACTTAACGTGTTCTTTTTGATGGAAACATCGCCAAAGAGGTTATGACAAAGTTTGATATCAATCTTTACATGGCCAAATGTTTATGTTATCGATCGATAGCTCCGTTATAAACTTGTCTCAATATGTCTCAAGTCTGTATTCAGGAAATGTAAATTGAATTACCAAAGATGCACAAGTTTAAACACAGTAGAACCCCGATTATCCGAAATAATGTTGACCCAAGTACTTTCGGATAATCGAAGTTTCGGATAAAACTGAAATAAATATTTATAATCATAATGCTTTTATTGAAAAAAGTAAATGTGTGAGTTAAGTGAGCATATACCTATATAAAGTTACGTAAAATATGAACATGTGGATACAAACATACATATTTACGAGTATTAAGTAACAAAGGAAGTAATTTTTAACTGTACACGTTTTGCATTGTTCCTATTTTTGGCAGCAATATCCCTCCAACGTTTGATATGTAGCTCATCAGCTGCTGTCGCATTTTATTGTTGTTCGACGTAAGTCAACGCCTTTTGTAGAGATTCTAATCCCTCAGAATGTAATATTTTGGCAGAGATGTATGTCTCATTGTCACTAGCATCACTTAAAACTGTCTCATCGCCATTGTTACAAACAGTTTTTATTAGTTCTGTGTCAGTTAATTCTTCAGTCAATTCATCATCATTAATCCACTCACCAACATCTGTTTGGGTAAGATTTTCACTCCCTGCTATTTTTACGACGAGCTCATGTAAACTTTCGTTGCTATTCTCATAGTCTGCGCACGGTTCCATTTCTTGGCTCCATGCTTCTGCTATCCAATATGCCACATTCTTGAGGTTAATCTCTCTTAAACAATCAACGAGGTTACAACCATTATCAACTTGATCTAAAATTTGCTCTAATAACAAACGTCTGTACTTGCGATTTAAATTTTCTAAGACTCCTTGATCCATTGGCTGAATCAGTGACGTTACATTAGGAGGCAAAAACATCACTCGTAGCTCTCCACTTTTAAGTTGCTCCTCACTTGGGTTGCTCGGAGCATTGTCTGGTAGCAAAATACATTTTCTCGGATATCCGCGTTCTTTCAAATATCGTTCAGGCTTGGAAACAAAATGATTGTAAAACCAGTCCTTAAATAGAGCGGCATCCATCCAGGCATTTGGACGGACGTGTTTAAATGCTCTTGGTATAGCTGATTGATTTTACGATTAACAACAAAGGAAGTTTGTGTGTGTGTGTACCGGAAGCATTGCTACAAGCAAGGATTACATGTTCTTTACTGCGTTTGTAACGAGGAGTTCCAGATTCTTGTTTTGAAGCTAAACTTTTCGCCGGTAACATTTTATAGTTTAAGCCCGTTTCGTAGCAGTTGTAAATTTGTTCTGGATTTAGACCATACTGTTTCGTTAATTCTTTAAAATGTTCTCCAAATTTTAATGCAGCGGTCTTATCGGTAGATAACTTTTCTCCGCAAACTTTTAATTCTCGTATACCGTGTCGTTTTTTTTTTCATCTATGCAGCCAACCATCTCTGGCTGTGAAGTTATCAGGCGCCTCAATAACTGGCAATTCTTCACCCAAGTTGACTGCCTGTTGCTTTAGAATAGGTCCGGAAATTGGTATTCCACGTTCTCGATTCTGTGTAAACACAGATATAAAGCATCATCCACTTTTTGATATTACCCCTTTTTCATAGTTTTCCGTGGCGGCTGCGATGATGTCAGAACACTAGACCTCTTTTCAATTTTCTCGCGTTGTTTTTTTCCATTCTGAAATGGTACTCACGTCTACAAATCACTTGCCACGTTTTTAAGCCAATCACCTCTATCTAAACGTCTGATTGCCTCAAGCTTCTGTTCTATGATAATGACAAGGCGTTTACGTTTATTTATATGCTGCGCTATCTTAGCGATTATGAACCTGATTGAAACAAACATACACGCACACAAACCAGTGAATTCCGCAAACGCGCTTGGGGAATCACCGGCAGCGAATCTAATGACGCAAACGCCGAAAGGGTAACTACCGGCGACTATTTCGGATCATGCGCCGATTTCCTGACAACTCCGGTTGAAACGGAGAAATTATTGTATGCGATCTGTTTCGGATAAAGCGGATTTCGGATAATCGCGATTCGGATGATCGGGTTTCTACTGTACCTCGTATTATGAAAACGAAGCAAACCCCTTGGCTTCTGGTGAAAATGAGATAGTATGTTTTTTGGGCGTTATATGACATGGACATGGACCCTCCCCATATCAGACAATCCGAATTTCCATATTTTGTTAATGCATTTTTGATACCCATTCACCTGTGGAATTGGGCATAATTGAAACAGAAAAGATCTAGTCCACTTATTCTTATATTGTCACAATAACAAAGATTTTGTATGACCATAAAACATAGAAAACTGGATTTGAAAATACTTTCATCTTATAATTAATTGTTTTTGAATTTTCGAGGAGGCTTCTTGAAAAACTCTTTTAGGGTTTTGTGTATCGCAATTTTTGATGTTAGGAAATTAAAACACTCTCAATCCCAGTGATTTTCCGCAGATATTAGACATATTTCACACGTCATAGATTTCCCCGTATATTTGTCCTTAAAAGTTAGAAAAATATTTTCGGCAGATGGATTGTGTATCTATCGGTCGTACCTTTGGTAGTGAATCATAGGGACTGCTAAAAGCAGGTACTAGACTCGATATGCACATATACTAAGTGACATATAAATCCCCACACCCAGTTTAAATGGTTTTATTTTAATAAAAGTCGGTGAATGTATTTATCTTACTGTAAATAACAAGTGAAAAAATGTTCAGTCTTATCAGTTGGACATTCCGGTTTTTATACTGCTTTTTTTTAATTCACTAACGCTCTACAAATGAATATTTCAGCCGCAGTAAAGAATCAACGTTGGCGGATTTTGGTTCTTGACATCCTTTACGATCGGTTACGATGCCTAGAGTACGGAGACCTGTACGATTTCGTCAACGTAGTGAGTTTGATAGGGGCCGTATAGTGGGACTTCGGGAAGCTGGACTTTCTTTTCGGGCAATTGCAGTTAGAGTGCAAAGAAGTGTAGACACTGTGGTTAGGTGTTGTCAGGCATGGCTTCGAGAAGGCCGTACGCAAAGAGCAACGGGCACTGGACGCCGCCGTAGAACAACACACCGTGAATATCGCCGCCTAAGATTATTGGCCTTAAGGGATCGTTTCTTCACTACCAGGTCCATTGCAAATGAATGGTTTGCAGAACACGGAAGACCTATTGGCATGCGAAGTGTTTACCGACGAATGAGAAGTTTTGGCTTGTTTTCATACCGGCCACACTGGGTCCTCCCTTTAACTCGAGAACACCGACGTAATCGCCTTGAGTGGTGCAGACAACGGTCACTCTGGGATCAGGAATGGAACAGTATTGTCTTTAGTGACGAGTCTCGATTTTGTTTAGGCATGCACGATGGTCGTGCCAGCGTTAGAAGGCGATGTGGTGAAAGGAGGAATCCACAGTTTTTTGTTGAAAGACATGTTCATCACACTGTTGGAGTTATGGTTTGGGGTGCTATAGCTTATGGTTCCAGGTCACCTTTAATCTTCATCAGAGGTAACATGAACGCGCAGCGTTATATCCACGAAGTTCTAGAACCCCATCTTTTACCCTATCTTGACACCCTGGCAGATCCAACTTTCCAACAAGATAATGCCCGACCACATGTTGCAAGAGTCACAATAGACTTCTTTCAACATAATGATGTCACATTGTTACCATGGCCACCAAGATCTCCCGACTTATCCCCAATTGAGCACGTGTGGGATATGATGGGTTGATGGGTAGGAGATTGCTCAATTTGCAACGTCCTCCTCAGACTCTAGAAGCACGTCGAGAGGAGTTGGTGGTTGCCTGGAATGAGATACCACAGGAGGACATTGACCACCTGATCAGAAGCATGCCTAGGCGCGTTGGAGAATGCGTAGCACATCAGGGTGCATCCACACATTATTAAAGGTCAAAGGGCTTTAAAGCAGTGCAATCATTTTGAAATTTTTATCCTTTACTTATTATGCTTCATTAAGTACTTATACAAAATTTTATTAAAATAAAACCATTTAAAGTGGGTGTTCGGATTTATATGTCACTTAGTATATGAGGTGGGCGCGATATTATCCATATATACGAGCATTATGCTTGGAGTATCCAATGACGTTACTAGATTTTGTGAGGTAATATTACTTAGTATAATATACAGGGTTTGTCCGGAAATTAATAGGACTCATTTTCTTCCGCCATGACTGTACTTCGGAGCGTGCGCGCACCGACTGGATTCGGTAGAGGGCGTTCCTAGCTAACGAATGAGCGGCTGGTCAGTTGTCTCCGAGCACTTGGAGAGTCAGGACAGGCATTTTCGCGCGACGTGTTTCTGTGAGTGGTGCAAGCCGAAAACACAGCGTTCGTTAGAGCAGAGGTACGCGATTAAATTCTGTGTGAAAACCCAGGTGTTGCTTAAGCGAGAAGTGGTGTGTTTCGGTGGCACCAGGCCTTTTTGGAGGGCCGGGAAGAGGGCCCTGATGAAGACCGTTCTGGAAGACCTTCGACAAACACCGATAATGTGACTCGTGTGCGCAAAGTTATGAACTCAGACCGTCGACTAAGTATTCGTTTAATTGCCCAGATATTAAATTTACCAAAATCTATGGTTCATGACATTATGCCACAGCATTTGAACATGCGCAAGGTGTGCGCGAAGATGGTCCCAGATGACGACCAGAAATTGCGGCGAGTGGAAGTGTGCCAAGAAAATTTGAACATGTGTGAAAGTGGCCCCCAATTTTTGAATAACGTAATCACAGGGGACGAGTCGTAGATCGTTGAGTATGATCCCGAGACAAACAGGCAATCTTCCGAGTGGCACACGACGGCGTCTCCTCGCCCAAAAAAGGGAAGAATGAGCAAATCCAAAGTGAAAACGATGCTCATTGTCTTTTTTGACATCAAAGGCATCGTCCACCATGAATTTGTTCCTTCTGGACAAACTGTCAACGCCAAGTTTTACGTGGAAGTGCTCAGGAGACTCAAACGAAGGGTCAGTCGGGTCCGACAAGACATCGCAACCGACTGGAAGTTGCACCACGACAACGCCCCGGCTCACATCGCCTTTCTTGTTAACAGCTACCTGACCGAGGCCGGCATCCCAACGCTTCCGCAGCCGCCCTACAGCCCAGATGTGCCCCCCTGGACTTTTTTTGTTTCCTCGCCTGAAAAGGCCGATGAAGGCCGAAGGCAAGCATTTTGAGACGACAGGGGGGATCCAAGCAGCATGCACCGCGGCTCTCAAGGCTATTCCGGAGAATGCCTTCCGTGACGCCTTTAATGCTTGGAAATCGCGCTGGCAGCGCTGCATCGACGCAGAAGGAGCCTATTTTGAAAGTTTTTAAAGAATTGTAACGATTGGCTCAATCAATTTTTTTTAAATCGACTCAGGCAGCAGCGGTGGCCGCAGTAGTAGACTCTTCGGTCTCCTGATCAGTCGCCGTACGCTGTGCGGGTTCGAGTCCCGTCCCAGGAGAAATTTTTCTCTTGGCTATGGATGTTGTGATTGTCCGTAGGTGGTAGATGGTCTCTGACTGTCGAACGCGGAGGTACCACCCGGCGGTTCTCGTAGGCGGAGCCAGAATGTGTGCGTTGCATGCACACGTGTTCCCTCGCCAGAGTCAGTGTGGCGTCCCCTCCTTTCCCATGTATCCCCCTATAGCCCCACGGTACCCAGTGGGTGCTTAGGCCTTAGGCCTTCGTGGTAGTTGGAGTATAAAAAAAACTATTACTTTCTGGACAAACCCTGTATATGAGTACGTATTAAGAGTTGTTTTAATCAGTTATCAAACATTGCTGACAAACATTCTCCAAAGAAATGAGGTTACTGTGTACTGACACGCTCGTTGCTGCAATTTGATTTTTTTTTTCATGTAAAGCCCAAATAGTGTACTAATGACTCTGACAAAGCCTACGTTGTTTTAATGCCATTGCACTACATGGAGAATTGTACTAGAAGTTGTTTTTAAGGCGTTTCAAGTCTAGTCAATCGAACTGAATCTGCTATTAATTTTTTTTTGACAACATTCTGTAATACCCTACGAGAATATAATTACTTATAAGGTAAAATCAAATAGTATATGGTTCCATTAACAAAAAGAATATATTTCTTAAGGTTACCATCCTAACACTCCGTCGTCCTCTGACAAGAATACCTGTGAAATAAAGTTGACCATAAACGACAACCGCGGCCACCGGGGTCAACAACAACAGCAACCGCCTACCTCGATGTCATTTCCGTTTCCGGCTTTTCCACTGCCCTCGGGTGCGAGCTTTCCACCAATGTCGCCCCCGGGAGCATTCTTTCCCCCACCATTCATGGGACCACAAAGCCATGGAGGTAAGATTGTAGATTTACTTACAAGTAAGGGATTTGAAATGTTATAGTGGAGTAGGGATATGTCTTGGAACAACTGGAGCTGAAAACTTTAATGGAAAGGTGTTAGCTAGATGAAAGGATAATTCTATTCAGGGTGTTCTGTACTTGGATGGACATAGTAAAGTCGTAGGTAGTGTTGTAAATTCAATTTTTACGGATATACAGGGGATTTATCTAAATCCGCCAAAAGTTCACATATCTCAGGCGGTATTGAACCGATCTTCAAATATTTAAATTTTTGACTATGTACAAAAAGTCAGTGAATGGTGCTAGCTAGCAAAATAGATTGATTGTTCCTCTTTTACTTTTTTATTTGAAACTGTTTATTTATATAAACATCTCCTTTTTAGCAATTTATGTAACACAAAATTTCGGGGGTTATCAACTTGGTTTAATCACATTTTACAAAATAATGCTTAAAATTGAATTAGAGATGTTTTGGTAACTCATAATTACAGGGTTGGATTCAGTTTTTTTTGTTTATTTGTAATGTATTGCGTGCAACGCCCTGTCCTGTATACTTTGAATTTATTATTATTCTTCCGGAAAAAAGAAGTATACATGCTACAAATAAAGGAAAAAATTAATGTTAGGCACTCTATTTTTTTCGGTAACTTTATAATGATCTCATTCTACCAACTGATACTTCACAACATAAGGTCTGCTTAGTAGTATTAGTGGTGGGGAGGCGAAGCCAGGCGAGTAGGCAACATTTGGTCCTGGTGCACTACAACTCTCTACAACACGTGTTAGTTCACTAATCTGCCCTAATCTCCTCATAAAAGTCAGGATGTATGACTATTCCGCTGAGTGAGCACCATCAAACTCCATGGCCCCGAATATCTCAGCCCTTAGATTGTAATGTATGGGGCAATAGCTCAGAAAGTCACTTTCTCGACACGCTTTTCTCGAGTCCCTGTACACCTATTCATGGCGGTGTTGACCTGGCGCCTGCTTATGCCCATGATTGGCTCGGGGTTGATCCAGGTGCTTCTGAGTAAAAAATTTAAAGCTGTAATCTCCACAGTTAGCACTGTTGATATTAATAAAAAATGATGAAATAAAGATACATTGCAAAAATGTCAACTAAGAGTTGAATTTCCAAATGACATGTTTCCCAGGACAAGGTCAACAGTTCCCAGATGCTTCTTTGGTACATGTTGTTGACAGTAAAACAAGTGATCTCACTAGGCTATGTAAACGAAATATCAAGTATGTTTTGCATTTGAGTGCGTTACAAGAATTTTAATAAAAATGGATCATCCTGTACAGATGAGTGCCGCAAAACCCGCAAAAAAGAGTACGACCATCAACCTTTTTGTAATCGTCTTGATATCCTAGCATCCCAATATAGCACTTAATGCGTTATTCTCCCACTAAGCTTACCACTTATGGTGTAGCGTCTTGAATCTTAGACGAATAGATGTATCGGAAATAAAAAATCTAGACAGTTGCCTTATTGAATGAAATATATATCAAATTAAGGTAATGATACCCTGTTTACTTCTTCATCGCTGCCCTTAGGATCTGACTTTATACCACCATTAATGGAGCTACCGGCATACTTCGAAGGTAAGTTTTCCTGTGACGGTTAGAAAACGTAATATTTCTACAGCTGACAGAATAACTGAACTTTTAGCAAAGATACTTCAAATATCCAAATCTGACAGTTGCAGCTAGTGTTAGCGCCGCGTAACATTAACAGTTTGTAGACTAGTATAGCGATTTAATTATAGTATTGTAGCTTTTCTTCCGTTGCCAATAAGTCCAACCTAAGGGATTGCTCTCGTCTAAAGCAACAAACTGACAACTGCAAGCTAAATTGGCACATGTATTCTACACACAAGCGTTCATACCAAAAAGGTGGTAGATGCTTATTCAGGGTGTTTCACAAAAAAATAATAACAAAAAAGTATATTTTAAGGAATTTTTCTCACATCACTCGTTTTGAAAATATTTAAGTTTGAATATTTGAGGTAAAATACTAAAATATTCTTTGAAAAGCTTTAGTCTCCCCTATTCTGAAAACACCGTGAAGCTTTATATTGAAGACGCTAGATGACATTTATATTAGGGACGCTATATGGCATGTGAAGAAAGATATGACTCCTTATTACAACATTAATTGAATAATATGCATGTGGGGGGTCTCAGAATTCATGTTCAGGGAGATATTGACGACGAATACTCTTATGATAACCGAAGTTATCTGCGGGGTGATTGCAATTTGAAGAACGGTGGGGTCATCGGCGATTGAAACTTGAAGAGCTAGAAAGGGGGGGGGGGCGACAGCTGCTGTATCAGTGCTTCTGAGAGTGAATGTCCTTGTGGCAATTAAAAACCGGGAAGAAAGTGTCCAAAAATATCAGTGATCAATCTCAATTCGCTCAGGGGGGGAGCATTTTTGGGTAGAATATGTTGATCCATCAATTCGACAGCGAGAACTGTTTCATTGCTTTTTTGACATGCTAACGAAATTCATCATGACGTGTGTTGTGTTCCGTTTATAGTGAACATGTTAAAATGATGGTTGATAATTCACAGACCTGGCGATACCTTGCGATGAATTTCATAACTGTATCAGTTTTCGTTGCAAGAAAAGAGTGTCACATGAACTTCACGCTCAGCAGTAGGAACACGTGGATGGCATTTGGCTGTATTAATTCCTGTTTTATCGGTCAGGGCCCTCAGCACCACCACAACACTTCAATGGTCCAGCATCCCCGATGTCACATGACTATAACAGACAATCCGGTCAGCATAAGAACTTCCAAAAGCAGCCTGATAACATGAGAGGACGAGGGGGATATAGGGGTGGGGGCAAAGGCGGATTCAAGCCCCATTTCAAGCCTAAAAAGGGTGGTAAGAAGCAAAACGATGATGATGATTCGGATACCTCCGTGTCCTCAAGACCTTAAAGGAGATAATTTTTGTTAGGCGCCAGTCAGAGTATATATTTCGATGAGATGAAAATGTCAGACGTGTACATGTTCTGTGCAGAGACTAAATTCAACCAATGATACTTTGAATTTATTATACATGTAGAGGCTAGTAAATACTAAAGATATCTGGACCTTTCAAGTTTTATTACATTATATTTTAAAACTATAGCGCTGCATCATTGCCCATTCGTATTATCAGTGCAAATGTAATTTGAGTTTGTTTAAAATTGCATTTGTAAAGTAAATATTACTTACCTACTTAACTACCTAGTATCTTTTGACAATGTTATTTTCGAAAGTTTCATGCGGTTACCGTGGGTTAATATGTTTCAAGTGAATGTAATGGCCATTTTATTCGTCCAAGAAGAGTTTTCTAATACCTCTGAGAATGTCTTAAACTTCCTAAAGAAAAATATTTGTTTGTATTATTATTATAATCAAATTGCCATTGCACAGTCGAATCTGACATATGAGCGAAAGAGCTTCGTTTACTCTTTCCGTCACTTCTCTTCCCCTCACTGGCATGCGCACCTTTATATTCTTACTGAATAAAGATTGTAGTGGTTGAACTGATTAATTTAGTCTATATTATGTGTACTGACGCAGGCATTTCTCTCTTAACTCTGAAATGGTGCCTTTTCAAGTCAAAGTTCTCTCAGCATATATGTTAGGTTAAGTGCGCGCATAGATTTAAGGTATATTATTGGAATCAAAACATGGCATAGCTTTATGATGTCGTTGTTGCTTGAAGAATCGGTACCACATAGCAGGTTATTAAACCGTATTCAACTGGAGTGTAAAGCAGCTGAAAGTAAATGAAACTTACATAGTATCATCAACTTGTATGAATATCAGTAGATTATGCGGTTTTGAAGATAGGGACTTTTCCGGTACAACCAAGTTTGGAATAACAAAACAAATGTGCGGTAAAACGAAAACGTGAAAAAGACATCGAAGAAAAGTACTCGGCATTCATTTGGTAAGAAATTGCAAGTACGGCCGTGTCACATGTTGCTCATAAATACTGTTCGAAGTTGTCGCCGATTGATTCAAAAACACAAGTTTGTTGACATCAAGTCGATAACTTCGTTATAGCTATAGGAATGTGGCAAATTTTGGTTTTCAAATCAGATTTGTAAGTTAACGTAAACACCGCTCGGCACCTGATTTGGATACTGACACACGACGTACCGGTTGTACCTTTTCACGTTGTATGCAGGGCTGGGCTGGTCCATTCAGATGTTTTTAAAACTTTGTATTTTTGTTATCTTATGGCTTTGTTGTACGTGTTACTAGGAAAATTTGCTTATTGTTGCATGACTATACGTTCTGTAAAGGAAAGCCTCTATTTTAAGAACACCTGTTGGTTTAAAAGGAATTTTGTTGTGACTCCTGTAATGGTTTTCTTAGTTAAACATAAAATTATTTTTCGTTCAATACAGTGTATGCGTTATACTCTCTGTCATTGATTATCATATTCTACCGGAAAATATTCAATCCAAGTGAAAACATTCTTATGCAAAAATAACCATACATACTATGGTGCCGCTAATCTCTTGTGCTTACAGCTTACAGGATGTATCGTAATTGAATACCAATATTTAATGAAGCGATTTTTGTGTATTTTAAGAAGAAAACTTCATATGATCGTATGTCCTAAACGCCTTAAATTTTGATATATAGGTTGATGAAGTTTGCAAAAATAAATTCGTGGCACGCCACTATATTTTCATGAAATGAAAATCTGTATGCATTCATGAGCAGATTTGATTTCCTAAATTTTTTCAAGGCACGGTTTTTACCGAAAAAAAAAACGGTTTTCATTTCTTTTTTCAGCAAAAACCGTGCATCTGATTCAAAAAATAAATCAATCAAATATGCTTAGAAATGATTGTATATTTCCAGAACGATTTTTATTTCAAGAGAAATCCGTGGCGTACCGCCAATGTTTGCCAAAATAGGCAGCTTAAATTCCTCTCGATACATAGTACATGTTTGGCAAGTTTCATCAAAATAAAAATTGTTATTACACATATCAATATTAAATTATTTATTTTTTTCTAGCTTTACCACCCTGAATCTGAAAAGCTAAAACGTTTATGACATCCGTTCATATGAAGTTTTCTTCTACCGAAAAGTGTCCCCCTTAAATATTGAATACAGCTAGGGAACACCCTGTACACTTGTCAACCACCGTCTTCAGGTGTCAGCATTGCCACAAGTTATGTGGTTTCCTTTTTAGTCGTTGAGAAATACTGAGCATATTTTTTTTCTTCAACAGGAGAATTTAGAATTTAGTCTGATTTTGTTACTATGTAAACGTCCCAAGTACAGCGTAAGATTGGGTACCTTCTCGGAGAATACGTTAATCAATGCCTCGAACGATTTTTTTATACAAATTTTAGATTCGAGCAGGTAACAGATATTTTGTGAGATGCAAAAAGTTGCTGTACAACAGCAGTGTCTATATGTCTACAGCTGGGTACTGACTGACGCTACGAGATGTAATGTAGCTACACAGCGAGCATGCATGCAGTCAGTACGTAGTGAACAGAGAACACAGCGTACACGTACACACGCGATGCGAACATGCTCGATGCGTAACGTTTGTCAGTACCCAGCTTACGGATAGCTTTTACACTCACATAGTGTGGTACCTTTTCATATTTTACAGTTGTAAAAAATATATTACTAGTTTGTAAGTCTAAATGAGCATTTGCACCACCAGTGAAGGAATCAACAGGAATTTCCAAAATACTGGCTTTACAACAACATCGCTTGTATCCTAAAACAAAGCTATCCATTTATTGTTGATTCATGTATTAGGACAGTTGCGAGTAGGAATTTGAAAAGAAACTTCACCCATTCTGAGAATACTCTTTGAAATGATACAGAAGCTTAATTTACTTATATATTTCGGGAGGCTGCATATTGGAGATGAGAAAATGTATTAAGGCACTTAAGGTCAATTAATTTTTGGCTCTGCTTGGTTGCAGATAGTAACTGATCAGAATTGAGATATAAGAATAATATTGCCTTTCATTCAAATTATTTTAGATTACGGCAATAATCGAAAGCCTGATATGCTTCCTACCGCAACTGCGCGACAGATTGTTGGCTGTATTAACAGTTTGTCAAGTATTTTGATCAGTGACATTGTCTCACTGACTGGTATTCGTCACTTTGGTGTTCGCTCTTTCAAAGTAGGAAATGATGCGTGACTCCCGGGACACACGAGGTTAAATTGATTAGTTACAAAAGACGCGTGTTGTCACGCGGGTAATACGTGCTGTATCCGCTGAAAGTCAACGCGCATTTTGTGAGAAACATAAGGCACCTTTTCATCCATTTAACCTGGTCAAGTATGTTGATGTTGACGCTGATCAATGCTGTGACGTTATAACCAATAACCGGAGGAAATCCGAAAATCACAATTTTAGGTTATGATGACTTTTTGACAGAATAAAAGAACATAAAATACAATAATTTCATTTATTCTTATGTAGTTTAACGAGTTACGGGTAAAGTAAGTAAATATTATTTACCAAAAATAACGATAATATGGTAATATGGTTGTTGATTAATCATTCTCATATATCTTCTTCTTGCATCTCTTCCATTTTTTGAGGCTTATCTTAACTCTTTCAGAGGACGCCCTGGAGTGATCGGTATTTTGTTGCTACTGCCACTGGTGCTACAGACCTCTTGATTGTCTGATGAGTTGAGAAGCGTTTAAGGATTGTTGACATCTTTTGTACACAGGTCACTGTGAATAAGGTCAAAGGAATATGGTTTATCTTCTTTATTACCAGCTGTTTCACCTGTTAGTTGCTCATTCTAAATTGGATATATATTATTTCTAAGTGCCTCCATTTTTGGGTGCATTTTTCACTTACCATTTGGAGCTCAGTGGATCCACCAACAAAGGTTATGATTTTCATTGATCATTATCTGTCCAATATTGAATTGTTTTGAAAATTATATTAGAACTATAAAATTTTATCAGGTCCTCAGTTGTTATTTTACCTATAGGAGTGAAAAATGGGACAACTTAACAACAGATGCAAAATAACTAGAGATTCTGGCTCTAACTGCTAAACTTGCAGTTAATACTTGATGTTTAGCAGCACAATAAATTGTCAATACATAAATATCTTATATATCGGGGACATTTACAGTTTTGTGATTAGTCCGCATCACTAAAGATGTTTTCGAAAGATATGAATACACTACGCGAATATGTAATCAATGACATAATGCGATTCCCTCACTGCTCAGGTAAAACAACAAAAAATATACAAAATATCAGTCGGCCTCAAATAGATTTGAGGGCTGCACAGGTTACTCTTCGACTATGAGGTTGTTCAACTTTCTTGTTTCGTCATAGAGGAGCCTGCCTCCTCTCCGCCCATTTGCGTGAATCATACAAATTGAGACCCTTTTTCAGCCTTCAGCCACATGTTTGTTTGGATAAGTAGACAGCAAAAATACATAGGAATAAATGAAATGACTGTATTTTTTTAATGATATGACTGACACAATCTGTAACTGACACGTCGTTGCAGAGCACCCGAAAAATGATCAACTGTTTTCCCCTTAATCGGCAGGGTTATTACGTAAAAAACCTATATGTCAAAAAAATGAAAAAAACGTCAACTTGTTTACTAGGCGGTTTGGTGTGCATTCCGAACCTGCTACAAGTGAGCATGAAGTGAACTTCAGCTAGTTTCAAGTTTACTTCTTGTAGGAATACCTACATAATGTCATTAAAAACCTTCATAGTGACAAAAAACGGACAGTCACTTTTCAAGTAATACCCCTGCGGTGGTTAAACACAATCCATAGTACAGTTTTAGATTCAGTTATAACTGCTGTTAACCAGGTTGAAGAGGGTTGAAGTTGGTTGAACAAATGAAAGGACGCCGTAGGATCACTCAATACGATGCACGCTAAAACGCGCGTTGAATTGACCCACTGCAAAACACGCGCGTTTAGCATTACATTGACTTTGGGTGTGTAAATGAACAGTATTGGATGACATCGGTGTCATGCAAAACGTGCGTTACAACGCATATTTTAATAGCACATCAACGCTCGTGTACCCGGGAGTAAATCGGTGGATTCTTAAGTTATATCCTTATGCATCAAGTGTGTCTACCGTCCGCAATCTTTATGTAGTTGTCTGAATTCATGTTTAAAATCTTGATGAGGTTGAATAGACATGCTCGGTTTACATGCCGAAACAATGTCTGTGTAAATATGCACAATGAATTCAGACTGATTTGAGAACTTTGACTAAATTTTGTATGTTCGGTGTAGTTTTATATAAGTATGCATTTATTGTTTTATTTATATGGAAATTTTAAACAATTTGGTTAAGTGATTTTACGAGCAATGATACATATTTTCATTAAGAGGTGTTACAATGTATCAAAAAAATATCACTACTTTGTTTACTATTTCCTTATACTATCATCATATTACGTTGTTTTCAATTACTAATAATTTTGGAAGCTGTTCTTTTATATACTGTGGCAGTAAATTTTATTATATTCAACATATGTTTTATTTCATTTATCTATAATTTTAGCCCTTAAAGCTTTTTATAGTACTTCGTGAACAGACCAAGACAATCTTTCAACGCCGTGATTATTTAAAAAAAATAAGAGAGTTTATTAATCCTCTGGTTTGGGAATAATAAACTCCAACCGCTCCAAATACTGGAAAGAATATGAAACATCATTCCACTTCCTAACCAGGTATAGGTTCGGATAGCCTGATTACGATACTGGATTTACTCTGCCTGTTGTATCAAATAGATGGTCATCAATATTATGAATAAATTTATTTCGCTCATTGTCAGTTTTTTGTAATTAAGCTGATGCCAGCAAAGTTGAGTTTTTTTTCGCCCATCAAACAAAAATTTCGCTATTGAAGTGCTCCCTTCTCTCTCCTGTACATTCGATTGCATCTTGCTCTTCCTGTGTTCTCAGATTATCAAATTCACTCATTCGTATTTTTTATCATCTGCCCTTTGCAGAATATCTTCGATCCGTTTCTCAATATATTCACGATCTTCGTTAATCAGAAGCTTCTCGGCTTGTTCAATCTTAAAACAGTGAGCATCAAGTTAATATCGCAGTTATTTGAAACAATTGTTATGTTGGTCTTATTTTTACCACACAATGCAAACTCATCTCAAAACTGTGTACACATAAATCCGAGAAATAGAAAAACGTGTTTTTGTATAATTCTGATCATTTATTTTTTACACAGAAGAACCCTCGAAGCCGATATCGATAGAACGCGACCATGGATTCCATGTCAATGGGGGTGGGGGGTAAAATAGAAGAGCTGGAAGTAGATGGCGCTACTCAGGTTGGAGGTATTGGTTATAAGCGAAGGTGTCAATAGCTGATCAGCTATTTCAATCGATAGTCGTCAAACCGTGATGAAGTCGTGAACATAGGGAGCCTTTCTGTCGAATCTATCTTTTACCCATCTACTTTTGGCAGTCTAACCTCCAACCAAACGTGCGCTGCCTGGCGGGAGCAAAACTGGACATTGCTGGTATCACTAGTGCCATTTCTTGACATGGCACAAATAACATAAGCTTATATAATACATCTGATAATGGCGAAGCTACTCATTATGTCACAGCTTTTGTATTAAATTTTATTTCTCAACTTTGGTAAGCAAGTTTTGCACTAAAAGCAAGTCAGAACCTGAAAAATAGCAGCACAGATTTATTGATGAATGCAAACATTTGGATCTACTCATAGACGACGACCTACGTTTTCACACGCATGTTAACAGCGTCATGCTATTATAGGCTGAAACTGTTACAACAGACACCTCCGCAGTTTTAAAACAAAAAGCGATTATGAATCATTATTTCCAAAATTTTATATGGAATCATAACTTATTATCCTTGCTTAGATCAAATGTTTGTCTACATACTACAAAAAATTAGAAATTCTTGTTGCCGCTTAACAAAAATCTGAATCTGAGGAAATATGATCATGTAACTGGCCCAATCAAAGATTTAGGATGGCTCAAAATTACTAACCTGGTCCAATATATATTTTTTTCATTTATAAAATTCATCACAACCACTCATTCACAACTACATCTATGGAGCAAGATAACATTTAGAACAAGCATTCATGATTTAAATTTGAGGTATAAGAGCACATTATCCATACCAAGACATCGCACAGCCATGTGTCAGCATCAATATTAGGAATACAGCAAATCATCACAAATTTAAGTCAGTTTTAAAACCAAATATACTAAGTGACATATAAATCCGAACACCCAGTTTAAATGGTTTTATATTAATAAAATTTTGTATAAGTACTTAACGAAGCATAATAAGTAAATGATAAAAATTTCAAAATGATTGCACTGCTTTAAAGCCCTTTGACCTTTAATAATGTATGGATGCACCCTGATGTGCTACGCATTCTCCAATGCGCCTAGGCATGCTTCTGATCAGGTGGTCAATGTCCTCCTATGGTATCTCATTCCAGGCAACCACCAACTCCTCTCGAAGTGCTTCTAGAGTCTGAGGAGGACGTTGCAAATTGAGCAATCTCCTACCCATCATATCCCACACGTGCTCAATTGGGGATAAGTCGGGAGATCTTGGTGGCCATGGTAACAATGTGACATCATTATGTTGAAAGAAGTCTATTGAGACTCTTGCAACATGTGGTCGGGCATTATCTTGTTGGAAAGTGGGATCTGCCAGGGTGTCAAGATAGGGTAAAAGATGGGGTTCTAGAACTTCGTGGATATAACGCTGCGCGTTCATGTTACCGCTGATGAAGATTAAAGGTGACCTGGAACCATAAGCTATAGCACCCCAAACCATAACTCCAACAGTGTGATGAACATGTCTTTCAACAAAAAACTGTGGATTCCTCCTTTCACCACGTCGCCTTCTAACCCTGGCACGACCATCGTGCATGCCTAAACAAAATCGAGACTCGTCACTAAAGACAATACTGTTCCATTCCTGATCCCAGAGTGACCGGTGTCTGCACCACTCAAGGCGATTACGTCGGTGTTCTCGAGTTAAAGGGAGGACCCAGTGTGGCCGGTATGAAAACAAGACAAAACTTCTCATTCGTCGGTAAACACTTCGCATGCCAATAGGTCTTCCGTGTTCTGCAAACCATTCATTTGCAATGGACCTGGTAGTGGAGAAACGGTCCCTTAAGGCCAATAATCTTAGGCGGCGATCTTCACGGTCTGTTGTTCTACGGCGGCGTCCAGTGCCCCTTGCTCTTTGCGTACGGCCTTCTCGAAGCCATGCCTGACAACACCTAACCACAGTGACACTTCTTTGCACTCAACTGCAATTGCCCGAAAAGAAGGTCCAGCTTCCCGAAGTCCCACTATACGGCCCCTATCAAACTCACTAAGTTGACGAAATCGTACAGGTCTCCGTACTCTAGGCATCGTAACCGATCGTAAAGGATGCCAAGAACCAAAATCCGCCAACGTTGATTCTTTACTGCGGCTGAAATATTCATTTTTAGAGCGTTAGTGAATTAAAAAAAATCAGTATAAAAACCGGAATGTCCAACTGATAAGGCTGAAAATTTTTTCACTTGTTATTTACAGTAAGATAAATACATTCACCAACTTTTATTAAAATAAAACTAAACTGGGTGTTCGGATTTATATGTCACTTAGTATATTTTAAACACACAGAAACCCAGAAATTTTGGTAGAACAACATTTGTTGAATATATTTTATGTACCCAGTAACACAAAAAATTTAGAAGTATACTTTATCAAGTATACAGTAACAGACATTTTTATAGTTTATAGCAGTTCCCCAAACTTTTTTGTGTCGTAGACCCCTTGCCATGTTTTTCCGTGTTGGGTTGACCCCCTACTTACCTGATATTGATTTCCTGTAAGTTTCTAACTGTAGTGAAGTTTAGTGTTAAAAACTTAAAGTAAAAACACATGTTAATTTATACATTTATTAATTGAATTTAAATTAAACCTACTCAAAATAAAATTTTGTATCTGTTATGTAAAATATACGTAACATTGAATAAACAGGTGTCTGACCAATAGGTGCCCGCATTGGGAATAAGTGCCCGCATTGAAAAAAAAATAAGAGGGATAAAATAAAAAAAAGTGAAAAATAATGAAAAAAAAGTTTTTTACTTAAAATAGTACAATAAGCGAGTTCGTTTATTAATTATAACATAAACGTATGTTCTACAATAATTTCACTGTTAGTTTGATTAAATTCCGCTTCTTATACGTTTAAGTTATCTAAAAATAGGCAAAAAATTAACGAATTTTAGTGTGTACCTATCCTTGAATTTTCAGAATAATTAAAAAAAAAATATTTCTATACAGGGGGGTTCTTTAAAAAAATCAATGCGGGCACTTATTCCCAATGCGGGCATTTATTGGTCAGACACCAATAAACATAAAATAAACTATAAATAAAATAACATAAGCAATAAGTCAATATTTTTAGTGAGAAGGATGAACCTGATGCTTTAATAATAAATTATCAACATTTGCCGTCAATTTTGTAAGGGTTAATCTTAAATCTCCTCGGCTAATGATGTCCAGTCTGTTTCTTTTTTTCGTTAGGAGATTGGTAACAGCGCTGAACCACCTTTCCACTAGGTATGACGATGGAAAGGAAATTGAAAATTTCCTCGCTATATTCCATAATACGGGATAAGTAACGGGTATGTTGTTTTGCAGCCAGAATTGCTGATATCCGTTTTTAAACTGAACCTTAAGTTCTTCGTTTGTACTTAGTTCAGTCAGTTCCTCTTGTATTATGACAATCGTTTCTTCTATGTCACCATATGGATTAATTATCCACGGTGGTATTACCATAGTCAAAATATCCTCAAACCTAGATTCTAAATCTGAATAGAGGGCATTTAAATGTTGAACGTAAGTTGAAACGTCGTCTTCCTGGCAGCTTGTCTGTGACAAATTGGGGAACTGAGAAAATTCGCCCCAATATTTTGCTTCATTAGTTTAATTCTGGCAAGAAACGCTGATAAGATGGACTTTGTTTTAATCAAATTTAAACTGTCGCCTTGTAATTGCAAATTAACCATATTAAATTTTGGAAACAAATCTGTTAAATAGGCGATGTCTGTTTTCCTCTTCATTAAATTTTCTTTTAAAATTTTATCTTTAGTATCCAGAAATTCTAAAATAGTCTCAAAAAGTGCAAACAATCTTGTTAAACATAAGCCTTTCGACAGCCAGCGTACTTCAGTATAAAGGAGTAATTGATGAAAGTGTTCGTCATTTTCTTCACACAACTGCGCAAATGACCGCGTATTCGACGGGTTGCTTCGGATTCGGTTTACTGCATCAATGACTAAATGAAGTGACTCATGCAATCTAACACTCAAATTTTTAGCAACTAAATGTCGATGAATGACGCAATGTATTGCTAACACCCCTGACACATTTTGTTTTAAATAGCTTATAAATCCACGATAACGTCCATCCATGGCAGGTGCTCCATCTGTAGCTACTGATATTATATTTCATAAAGGAATTGCTTTTTCAATGAAGTAATCCTTCAAAACATGAAATATTGATTCAACTTTAGTGTCGGTTATCAAAGTTCTTGCGAAGAGCAGTTCTTCGTAGATTTCTTGATTCATAATAAAACGAACATATGCCAATAATAATGCTGCATTATCAGGTAAAGTTGACTCGTCCAGTTGTATAGAGAAATCGCAAATAATTACATAAGAAGCTTTCAATATCAGAACTCATTTCATCAATACGTCTTTCAACAGTATTGTTGCTTAAGGGAATTCTTTTAATGATATCAGATGCATGTTTGTGTAAAACAGTTTTTAAAACCTCTTCAACGGCTGGCAAAATTAACTTCTCTCCGATAGTATGCGGTTTTCCGGATTTTGCTATAAGTAACGAGATATTGTAAGACGCCCGCAAACCATCATCATTTCTTTGTGACGTCGAAGCGAACATTCTGTCCAGTGTAGGTCTCTACTGAAATTTATCTTTGAGTGTTTGGAAGTATTTCAAATCTTTCTCTGTTTTATCAGGGTGGCATATCCTCAGATGATCTTGCAGTTTAGATGGTTTCATAGCGTCATTGCCCAAAACTTTGTTGCATAAAAGGCACATAGGCGATTGTTTGTCCGGCAATGATGGACTGAAGCCAAATTTCAAATAATCAACACTGTACTGTCTACATTTCTTTTTAGATTCGGACATGGCATCAGTCATCTGTGGGCAAAATTAAATTATTTAAATAAGACAGAAAATCCAGCAGCTGTATATTAAAAATATTTTTTGATTTTCCGAAAACATTCCATAATTCGAACATCTTGCAACAATTAGCTCGAATTACGGAGATTGCACTGTAATTATATTACCGATTGCTAAAACTTTCAAAAATAAACTATTGTGGAGTACTCGTGTAATTTTACATGATTGAATATTTAACTACTAATAACTAAAGTCATGATTGGCGTAATTTATCTATCTTTGCTAACTACGAGTACAAAACTAAAATTTAATAAATAATACTTTTCTCCAGCACTCTCAAACAAAATAACACTGACTCACTATAATTTGTGTCATATACTATCTGTTTATATTTTTTAAAATATTTTCTTAGCACTTTCCTTTTCAAGATTCAGGAAACGAATAAACGTATTTGTCCCACATTCGTATTTATAGAGTGACGAATTGAACAAGTTAGTGCAAGGTAGCGAAGCTCTGAGACTGTGACTCTCAGGTTTTTACAAGTTCAAAATGTATTGCGACCACAAAGCGAATACCAACATCCTACAACTTACACAATTTTATAAACATATATAATAAATTTTTTACTTCATAGGTACTTTTATAAATAATGTATATGTTTTGATATTATAAGATAGTATGATGTAAGTAAATAGGTACTATCAGTGTATGTGTTGAGATCCACTATCGTGGACCCTTATATTCATTTCATGGACCCCCAAATTTTTTTTCGCTGACGTAGACCCCTTGCAGGTTGTCATAGACCCCTAGGGGTCGATATAGACCACTTTGGGAATCAATGGTTTATAGTATATACTTAATTTAGACTTTTTTATATTTCCAAATATTGGTTGAGTAGATTGGCCAATGGCTAGACTCCTCCATTTGCATCTTACGTATTATAATGTTATGATGTGATGTTGATGATGGAATAAAGAAATTATTATTAACGTATGTTTTCAGGGAATCTTTATTTATAAATAAATATAATCACTAATCATCTTCAATGATGTATTTGAAAGATTTTATCTACCATCTAAAAATGTATTTACAAGAAACAAACACACAATTTTACACCACATCACAAAAGTCAAAATAGCCAAACTTGTCAAAGTCCCTCACGATGTCACACATTCTTGTCGCCACATCTTCTTCTTGCATTTTTTCCGTCGTACAAATGTTGTACTGTGCAGTACCATCAGGTTTTTCTAGTCCTGTACTCCAATCGGGTGCTTCGTCATCTTGGGACATGATCAATGGCACTACGATCAACGCCATCATTAGGCCGTACCGAGAAAACTGTTTCATGTGCGATTGAAGTGCCTCATAAGAAAAACTTATCGGTGTATCCAGTTCATCTAAAAATTAGGAACCGTTGAAAATAAACGTAGCAAAGTTTGTTCAATGTAGTCAAAATGTAGACAGATCCTCAATGACAAACATTATACACCGAGAAGCAAATTTGTCTGATGGCTTGAGTTCAATGTGTACGAGAGAGAAGTGGGTAAACACACATGTTAGACAGAGATAGAAGCCGAATATGCGTTAGTTTATTCTTTATGTCCATATAATGGTTTTATTTTGGGCGTACACATTGAATTGAATTTATTTAGGATTGATTCCCGATCGGTCCTAACGACACTCGATTTAAGGTCTAAATGCAAGGTCAGGATCGCCACAAATTCTGCAACATTGCATCATTTGTCCATTTGATAACACCATGTCTTGTACATTCCAATGTAAGGTTTCCACATCCATGGTCATAGTCGAGCGATCTAGGTCAGTACCCATGCGCTCGGTAGGGGAGTGTCGTTCTGCTTCGAAATGGCTGTCACCTGCCCATACGCAGGCCGCCGCAAAATGTGACAATAACTCATGATGTGTTGATTTTATCACCATCGGTGGAAATCAGAGACAATTCTAAAGTAAATTAAAACAATAAGTCGCATCAAAATTGGAATAAATAATTCTAATCAAAATGAAAACAAAATATGGTTCGGACACACCTCCTTCTTGGGTTTGACAGTATCCTAACCTATTGAAGCAGCCTGTACGAACATTTTCTGGTGTAACATATTGGCAACGTGACAGCTTGCACGACCTTCTGCGTCACCGTCGCTAGGCAATGTGGTGATAACCTTCGCTCTTCAGCCGGCTTCTATCTCTTTATAACATGTGTTGATACACATTTCTCGCGCTTCTCTCTCTTACACCCACGCCGTCAGACAAATTTGGTTTTCCCTGTATTATGAACAATAATAAAATATTGAACTATGAGGTAGGGCGCCGATTTTTTGATGACTGAAATTGTAGCATTGTATTGGCGTTTGTTTTTACGAAGTTTGGATTTTATTGACCGTTTTTTTCTAATATAATTATGCGTGCGCTCTTTGATTTTGAATTTCCCTTATTATTTCAATTTTCATCAGAAACATACTCATAAACAAGCTTGAGAACGGATCGAATGAATCTCGAAGCCATCATATCGTTTTTGAAATATTTGGCTCGAATTCTGATAAATCCGTGATTCAGTCGTTTTGTTTTCGATGCTAATTGATTTTATACAAGAAAAATTTGATAAACTGACCACTGAAAGACTAGCGTGATATCAGAAGCTAACCCTGTATTTAATTTAAGAAATATTTAGCAATAGAGCTGTTAAATCCATAGTTTTTTGTAATATTCGACTGCTCAGTATGCAAACTCGGCACGGCCTGATTGTATGTAACGATTTGTAAATAACTTTATCGTCGATTGTCGCGCTTGTCTTACCGTAAGACGTTTAAAATAACAATAAACGTATCAAAATTGGCTTATTGTCAGTCTAGACACTGGTTCAAATATATTTACTTATATTAAAAATGAAAAAATTACCCAAGAATGATATCAACGAATCGAGGTAAATTTTGAGGAGCAAATCAAAATTACTCGCTCTCATTTGTTTATCCGTTCCAGTGAACAAAAAATAGCTCAAATCCACAGCTGGAGAAGCACAGCAGCTCAATTGGAAATCCAAGATACATACATCGGTAGGTTTACTTGGATGAGATTGATCCTGGAATGATAAATGTGAGAAAAATGATGGACCTGAGAAAAAATGAATTATAGTTCAAGTACGTCAAGCCTTACATTAAGAATTTATAAGATTTTAGCGATTACTATTTTGTTTTTTGACGATTTTCGAATAAGGTAAATAAACAATCTTTCACTCTACATAAACTTTTCAAAATAACTAGAAATCCCCAGCTGGAATGCAAGACTACCATCTCATTTTAGACTGCCGAACTTGTTTCAGGATCGCTATTTTCTTGTTCATTTTATAGGTTGAGTATGTATGGTATACTCGACCGGCGCACTTAAAACAGTTATAGTTTATTTTCTATGCGACCATCGAGGGTCTGGATTTCACTCAGTAATTAACGACCCTTGTATATTTGATGGTCTGTGAAGAGAGAATTGGAGCATTTTTCTTTGTTTATAAAAAATATCTGTCTGTAGGAGGACAAACTAATCTTAGAAAGACAATTTCCTTTGAATTTTCTCCAACAGTTTGGCAAAAAACTGTACTATAATTTTTTAAAAACTCATGTTCTTTTTCCTTGAGGCAGTGTTTCGGAAAGAACATCAAGACAAGTAACAAAAATTTTCACTATACCTGGTACGCAAAAAGGAAATTATTTGGCCAGCTATCTCCATGACAAAAAACTCGGAAATCGTCAGCCATTTCAGGTTGCAAATCATCTAACAAACCATTTATAGGATAATTAGTAAACTTCTCTAGCTTCCTTATCAGCTCGAACTCGTTGCCATCGTCCAAATTTTTTGTAACTGCTTTGCAAGAACGTCCAACAGTTTCGGTCAGCTTGTCTCGCGACACACTTGCAAAGTATGGTAGTTTCACAGTATTTTTCAACTTTCCGTAGATGTCAGGTTTATGGTGTTTGAGGGCGAAAGCTAATGCATGAAACTTTCCATAACTTTTTGCCACTAGAACACAGTGATCAAAATCTAAAGTATTTTGCCTCTCTTTCATGATATATCCCAAATGAAGCATATTCTCCAGAATCAGGTACTCATACGGCGCATTTTGGGAGCATTTGTACATTTTTGGAAACGGATGGAAAATTGGTTCAATTTTCCTATCCTCCTGCAGTAATATCAATTCTTTGAATACACGTTCGTAAAAATCAATTTCTCTTCTGTATAACACTGAGATATTTATGTATTTTCGAAAAGCATCACTTTGAGGTGCAGACTTGATGATAAAGCTCAATGTCGAGTATGATATATTATCTTTTACATCAGCTTTTGTGATAACTCCTAGATAGTTGTCTCCTTTTTTCGATCCAGATTCGAAACTGATAGATCTGCTTTGAAGATGGAAATCATCCAACAAAGTTTCGAACTCGCCAACGATTAGTTGTGGTAGAGACGACATTGAAATATCTGAAAAAGTAATAGCCATTTCAAGATAAGTTGTGATAATTTTATTGAATTGATCCATTCTCCAGCTGCCACGAAGGCCTAATCACCCATGGGGTACCGTGGGGCTATAGGGGGATACAGGGAAAAGGAGGGGATGTCACATGGACTCTAGCGAGGGAACACGTGTGCATGAAACATGCACACATCCTGGCCCCGCCCACGAGATCCGCCGGGTGGTACCTCCCCGTATGACAGTCAGAGATCGTCTACCACCTGCGGACAATCACAACATCCATAACCAAGACAAAAATTTCTCTTGGAACGGGATTGGAATCCGCGCAGCACACGGAGACTGATTAGAAGACCGTAGCTTCTACCACTATGCCACCCCTGCTCTATTTCTCTTAGAGTAAGGGTTCTATTTTTCATTTTATAAATCACGATTTTGGATGCCCTAATAGTTATAAAAGCATGAAATTTAGCAATTTTGAGTCGCCCCCATCTTTTGACTACGTGTAGGAATGATCAAAAATGAATTTCTTCGAAATAATCAAGTAAATCTAAAAGGGCGTAAAAAGTTAAAAACGGAGTTCAAGGTATTTCCAGTGAGACAGTCGGAGGCGAAATTACAGTTTTAGTTATTTTGAACGTTACTATGGACAGTGTTAAAAATAAGTGTTTTTTGGCCCCCTCTCGGGACAAACGCAACTCACTGAAAACTATAGTTCATGATTATAAGTAGTAAAAAATACTAATTGAAAATCCGAAATGTGCGATAAAATTTAATACGCCATCCCTAAAGTATCTTCTATCGCAGGGCTGTCCAACACGCGGGCCGCATGCGGCCCGCTTCACGGGTCATGTATACATCACATGTATAAATTACTCTCAAATACCGAATATGCACAATTCTTACATTAACTCTGTAATAATGTTATATAGAAAGATTTTATAATGCGGCCCTCCAAACTGCATTTTTTTTTTTGAAGTGGCCCTTCTTCCAGATTAAGTTGGACAGCCCTGTTCTATCGCATACATGTACGAGTATTCCTATCAAACACAGGTTCAATGGAGTTGTTTCCAATACCTCCAAAAGGCTCCGGAAAAGTTCATTCTGCTACAAATGCTGATGGGTTAAGCAAAACATTATTGATGGTTAGGCGCGCAATTCAAAACCCCCGGTGAGGCCTGCTCTCTAGCGTCATCGTGATTCACGGCAACGATAGGCCTCACGTAGCGGCAACAACACAAATGCAGTTTCGTTGGGAATTTCTGGATCATTCAGCATTTAGCACCACCACTTTCATCTTTTTCCAAAACTTGAGGAGTTTCTTGGTGGAAAGCTCTTGGAACATGACATGTTGAAAGAAACAGTTACTAACTGGTTTAACAGTCAGGCGGCAGCGTTCTCGGAGGACGGATACAAAAGCTGGTGCCACGAACTGATAAATGTTTATGGTTACTGTATTGAAAAATGAAAAAATGTTCATATTTTAGTTTGGTCATAAATAGCAGAATTTCTCCAATTCCTTTGAAAAACGGTTCTTAAAAATGACTCGTATTTTAAAAACATCCATTCCCGATAGGTTCTCTTGATAGTTTGAGAGTGGTGCAATGTCTGGTGCAATATCTTTTCAAGTTGTCAGATTTTCGAAGTTTATATATTTACATTTTGTTATTAATGCTCATTTTATTGAATAAAAGTACATATGTACGTATATCTTAGAAAAACGTAAAGGCACATTTCTCACATATCTTTAATACTATATTTCGAGTACTTCTGTATATATCCGTTATTTGTGTTTACTGCCTTCAGTAGACATTAATCATATGTTTGACTTTCTGACTTATCTTTGAATTATCAGTATTTCCATGCATAATTATTATTTAATGGTTTGATGTAATATAGAGAAGGCACACTTCTTGGGTTTCCAATAAATGTTTTTGTTTGCTTTGCTTTTATTTATTTATTTAATTACACCACCAACAGTTTATAAACCAATTACTGGTGGGAAATACCGTACATACATATATATAAAAATCACGAAATAAACTAATTGCATTGATTGCTTAGTAATTACCAATAAGAACCCATGAAAAGCTCAATCAAACTGTGGTAGCTCTAAAAAAACTACCGCTTTACATACTCTCTTAATAATAGAAATGGATGTGTTGAAGATATCAAAATAATTCATATAGTCATTATAACATGAGCATATCGAATATAGCGGTGAGTGCAGCAGTAGATTCGTTCGTGGGGTAGGTAGGTAAAAGGCAAGGTTGGCCCTTTCGAACTCTAGGTGTATTGAAATTTAGCATAGACAAAAATGATGGACAGTCATGTTGATAATTTATAACTTTGAAAAAAAGAGAGACTAAAGATTGTATCTTCCTTCTATCATCAAGGCTGAGAAACCTATGCTTTTGAAGTAAGTTATTTTGTGAAATCCCTATGGGAGGATAAACACCATCAGTTTTGAGAGATAAATACTTCAAGAACTTCCTCTGAATTTTTTCCAATGAGTCACATGATGTAACATAGCATGGGTTCCAGATTATTCTTCCGTATTCCAGCTTAGAAAGAACAAACGAATTGTACTGCACTGTAGGTGCTGTGCTACCGATAAACTCTCTTGAATTGCGTATAACGAATCCCAGTGCTTTGTTGGCAGAATTCATTAAATTAATTAGGTGTGCACTGAAGCTCAATGTCCTGTCAAATATTACTCCTAGGTCCCTGAACTCCTCTAAAGTTTGAAGAGGAGTGTTGTTAATTTTATAACTATTGGTAATTGAATTTACTCTCCTAGTGAAAGTTAAACATTTACATTTGCTCACGTTGATAGGAAGTTTATTAGCAGCTCACCACTCAGACAGTCTGTCAAGATTCCTTTGTAAATAAAAGCAACTAGATGGATCATCAATTTGCCAGTACAGTTTTACGTCGTCCGCGTAGAGCAGAATATTGCAGTCAATCGTATCAACTAAGTCATTAATAAAAATGACGAATAGTAGTGGAACTAAGGAAAATCCTTGTGGGACGCCAGTAGATGGAAAAAAGTGAATTGATTGACCACCGTTAAAATGATAATGATAGTTTTCACTGGATTGCGTTCGTTTCCAGAGGGAGAATTTTTTGGATAAGGGTACCTACTTATAATCTTTGAAAAACGGAAAACGTATTTACATATATCACAACTTTCTACCTCCTATTTGAGGTAGTTCTGTGTATATTCAATATTCTGTATATTCAGTGAGTTCGCTTAATGTTAATTATTCTAGAATTTCTGATTAATCTTCGATCAGATTTTCTCTGCATTATTGATTCAAGACTTTATTATGCGATAGGAAGTGATCAGTGTACTTTGGGGATGACACATTAGATTTCCCCGCATTGTTTGGGTTTTCAGTGAGTTCGTAACCAATCGCAATTACAAAACGGTTTATATAGTTATGGGACGAAAAGATTGGAAACTCAAAAACATAGCATAGAGACACACTGAGCACTTTCATGCTCTTTAATTTTTTTCTTCGTTTATACCTCATAGCACCTTCAACAAATTATTCGCAGTTTATAAATAACTTGATAACATCAGATAAGAACTTACCTGTTCACTCCTCACTAATACAGAATGCGATATCAACTAAAAATGTTACACAATCTAGCCAACATACACGAAATAAATTGAACAAATGAACGTATAAAGGTTCTTGCACTTCTACTCTATAAACACACTTATCTAAAGATTATACGCGGGATGATCGGAAAGTATGTATAGTAAGAGAAACATTTCATCCATCAATTGATCGAAGTAGATTCAATCAGTGCTTCTCACGATATGAATCAGAGTTATGAATATTTTTAACATGCTTACTATTATTTAAAACCTACAAAAGACAACTGGTTTATTTCGTGTGCAACATCTGAAACGTCCTAACTCTAACGCAAAAAGGTACTACAATGGTGTTGTAAACAATTAGCAAGTCTAGACTGACTAGAACCATTGATTAACGTATTCTACCTACACCTGAAGATAGTCAATCTAGACTATATTCCCGCATCCGAAAAAATATCCGCGAGTAAATGCCAATTTTATAATTCGCAAAAGATTTGTTATCAAACATACGATGAGTATATATGATTTATGCGGAATCTGATAGATCTCAACTATGTAGATGTCGATACGTGTAGAATACCTACGAATGTAATGTCCAGAGTTGAATTAAGAGTTCAGATTTGCTATATAAGAAGAAGCAATATAATGAAAAATAAATTATAACTTACCGCAGCTCTTAGGTCCTTTAATTCTTGCTTCTTACTTCTCTCGAAAAACTGACACTGAAAAAATACATGATCTGATTACCGCGCCATTCAATTCAAGATATTTGAATCTCACCTTGTATAAAATAATTATCAAAGCAGTGAGCATAGTTAAACCACCAAAAATTGATGCTATAATTATCCACATTCCAATTTTCTTTGTTTGCGTAGTGTCGTTTACGAAAACATCCACTATGGTGGTTGAATCAGTTCTAAAACACCGAAATAAGTTTGTTAACTTCAGTTTTGTTGACCTACTTCAAATTTCTATGTTGAAGAAGTCGCGGAGGCAGAACCTGACTATCGACGTACCGCGACTCTTATATAAGAGGTTGGGTAATCTTATTAATCTAATTGTTGAAACGGTTAGTAGAAAAGAAAGAAAAAACTTTTCAGATTATCCGACAGTTTCAATACTCTATATGGAAACGAAGGCGCGGTTATACTGACAGTTCTCGAGGTACAAAGTTGGAGTAGTAGCTTGGTAGAGATTTGTACACTTCGGCTATAACATATTCATAACATACCTGTTGTCAGTCTGTATGAAGAATTTTGGGCTGATAATGGTTACAGTGGCTCTGCTTGCGAAAGACAGATGTTGCTTAGAACCTAGAATCCCTGAAAATTTATAAATAGTTCTAAGATATGTTTACTTAATTTGGACAACTATAGTAATGTTGATGTATCAAGGAGGGTGTTCGTTCCTTGTCAGGTCAAAATGTAAATATTGAGGTAGTGCATCTTAAAAACCGGTACTATAAAATACCTGACTTTCCCCTACAACTATTAAGTATTATTATCGTGATTTCTAGATGTTCCTAATAACTCACTTGCGCCACGGTCGACGTTTTTATCCACCTTACAAGGAACCGTTGGCATTCCTAGGAACAGCGATATTTTAGCTTTTAAGGATTGAAAATTGAAACGATTCACTTGAAAATTTACGTTTGCTGTGAATGAAGGACTGCATTGACAAAACAATGACGCGAGCGACTCGCTCTTGAGTTCGATGGGAGTTAGTGTGGATAGAAGGAATTTCGAAGTTATACACCGCGACTGCTATGAGGAGCTTAAAGAAACTTTCGTAATCCGATTTTTGAACATCCGAAGGTTACTAGAACTCCTCATGTAGATTATTCCACAATCTCTGTACCTGTACCTCTGTATGGAGAAAGGAGCGGTCGTATCGGCCAGCTCTGGATGTACGATGTTTGACACGGTTTGAATGGGCCAATCTGACAGCCACATCGCGCGGCGACATCATGGAGGAGAGCTCTAATGGGCAAAGCCTATTGGCATAGCGGTAGAAGACAGCTAGATCGCCGACGGCCCGCCGGTGCGAAAGGGTTCCGAGACTGTCCGTTAGAGAAGAGTCATCGATCAATCAGGCGGCCATCTTCTAAACAGCATCGACCATCCTTGATGATGGATGGATAATGTAGTCGAGTCGGCAGCACCCCAAACATGTGAGCAGTACTCGAGGCTAGGTCTTATCTGGACCTTGTACGTAGTGAGAAGGTCATGTGGAGAAAAGTACTTTTTAGCCCTAAACAAATAGCCTAGCTTTTTCCCAGCAGCTGCCGCTATTGACGAGATGTGTTCGTACCAAATCAAGTCGTCGGTGATCTGAACTCCGAAATTAACGGATCTTTGCTAGAACTCGGCCATCCATCGAAAAGGGATAAGTGTTAGGACGCTTCTTGTTCGCTAAGGTACAGCACTGCGTTTTGGAAGCATTAAACGGTACCAGGTCTCTCGTCAGAGAGGACGTCACTGCTAGTCTTCTCTTCTTCAGCTCACCGGCAGATATCGGCTTGTCACTTTGAATTCCTGAATGTAGAGTAGCTGTTATCCGCAAAGCTGTGGATGGGATTGACCGTACACGAAAGAAAGTAGTTGATATGTAAGAGGAACAATGTTGGAGCCAAGACATCCCTGGCGAGGAGAACTCATCCATTACAACGGATATCTTGTGGCCAGAGAGGAAGTCAGCTACCCATCTGCATAGCTTCCCGGAGAGGCCATAGGATGGAAGTTTGCATCAGAGGGCAGAATGTCACAGCTGATCGAACTCTTTCGTGATATCAAGAGCAACGACATGAGCCTCACCATAGTTCAGTTTTCTAGGAGGTCCAGCTGCTGCCTGAAACCATACGGCTTGTCGCTAATCAAGCGGTAACGTTCTAGGTACTCCAGAAGCTCCCGATTTATGCGCCTCTCCAACACGTTATTCATAAACAAGGCAGGTAAGGTTTGGTCTTAAACTGAATCCAAATTCAAGATGAGATGTAAATCATAACAGCGCGTGATCTCTCGGTAACAGGTGGGGACAACGCCTCTTATTGGTCAATTCGCCATTAAATTTCAAGCGGTCGCCTGGCGGCATAATGCGCGGGGCAGGGGCAGGGCAGGCAGAGTTGCATTCAGGCCACCGACCGTCCGACAAAACTGTGACTTCATCCAGAAGGGCATTTCTAGATGGACTGTCGACCGGATTGAAAAATCCAGCAGGTAAATAGATCGAAGTAGTTCACGGTATCAATTTTTGCGCACAATATCTCTCTATCTTCGTACCTACAAGACGTGAATGTGTACTTAGCGGATTTTATCTTTCTAGGCAAAGAAAAAAGGCTCATTATTTGCCACATTGGGGGTGTAGATGGCTTCGTGGATGACGGCTTATGGTCTTTTGAGTAAAAAAAAAACCACTGACTACCATGAAGAGATGAATGGGGAAGCATTCGAGAAGTGGTTTTCAGGCATTTTACCACGTCTCGATGACAATTCTGTGGTTGTTTTGGATAATGCTCCCTATCATTCTCGCAATATAGAAAAAAATCCCAACTTCAGCTTCTAGGAAATCAGACATTCAGAGCTGGCTCCGTTCCAAAAATATAACTTTCGACCCTTCCTTACTGAAACTACAACTATTAGATATTGTGAAACAACACAGACCAAGACATGATAAATATGTCATAGATGAAATGGCCAAAGCACACACCACAAAACAGTACTTTGTTTGCCGCCTTACTACTGTGAGCTCATATGGGCAGATGTTAAGAATTTTGTTGCTGCACACAATACAACATTTAAATTTTCTGACATGCAAGAGCTGTTCAGAATTGCTATACAGAGGGTCACACCAGAAAGATGGCAAAAATGTGTGCAGCATGTTCAGGAGAAAGTGGAGGTAGCAATGTGGGAGCTGGACAACATAATTGAGAGAGATTTTGAATCCATCATCATAAACGTTAATAACGATAGCTCTTTAAGTGAGTCTGAGTAAGTTTCGCGTTTTTGTTTTGTCACAGAATACATATTATGGGAATCCTAGTTATAGTGAAATATTAACTTACAGATAAACTACAGACAATGCAAGTTCGAAGTGCACCTTCAAAATCTATTTTCAATTCAGTCACTATATTATATAATTTCGTTTACAACACGTTGGTGGTAGTCCATCATTCGGAGGTAGCCCTGAATGCGGCCCTGTACGCCGTCCTTGCTTTTGGCAATGACGCATCCATTCTATCTTGGGTGTAAATACACTATAGATCCTTTTTTTGGGATTGGTTGGACATGAGCAAATTTCCAGTTTTCTGGGAAACTACTGGAGATGTAAGATATTGTGAAGAGGCGCGATAGAACTGAAGTAAGCTCCGCTGCACATCTCTTCAATTCAACGGCAGATATCAAGTTCGAACCAGAAGCTTTGTTGATGTGCGACAAGAGCACCCATCTTACGATCTTATGCCTGAATGTTACTTCCCGCATAGTGTAGGGAACCCTTCGAATCGACGGCAAGTGGGCGTTCGGAGGGTCGTCTATGGTGGAGTTGGCAGTAAAGATCTGGACAAGCACTTCCGTCTTAGCCTTTCAGTCGATTACAATTGTTCCATCCTGGCACGTAAGTGGTGGAAGGCTACTCTGAGAGAAGTTCCTTCCACATTACCGATGGCGACTTGTCATTGAACAAAATAAAATAAACATGTCCGGACGACCAAAGACAGCCAGGGGTAGATCTACTATACACAGTTACAGGTTAGCAGTGACGTACGATCAGTTTTGTTAATTTCCTCCCATTTTGAAAGTTGAATCTGAAAAAAATAAGCAATCTAGCATATTGTACCATTTAACGCTGAAACATCCAAGTTCATCTGCAATTTGACAGTCGCTGGATTATTTTGCTTTCGATATGGCCCAAACTGACAGAGATATTTTTCACATAACACGTCCTCTGTGTCACAATGGAGATATACTGTATTATCATTACGAGATTTTCTCATACTATTTATATTGGTAGTCCCATTATGATGGTAATGTTGACAATCAAAAGTCTGTCCAGAGAACTTTCCCTGAATTTTCTTGACTTTCATGAAATTTATTTTTTGATTTGATAGAGTCAAAGAAATTGGTATCAATAAGGTGATTTGTATGCTTTCCAATGAACTGCTTCCGATTTTTTCTACCTAAAAAATAGTGATTGCTAAAAACAGGTCTTCGTGTGTATGATATACATACGAGTAGGTAACGGTAACGTACAATGTACAATAGTATTTATATAGCTCTTTTCAGGCTTTCTGACTGGCTACAGTAAAACTACAGAAATTACTTTCATACATCCATACGTGTCATGGACGTAGGTACTGATTTGAGTTTATCTTTTGCTGATATCCGATAAAAACATAACAATGCCTGAAAATACAGCTACAATGTCGACAGTCTGAGTTAAATTTATTGTAGTATTTTCGGAAAGTGAATGAAAACAACTGCAACTACATTTCCTTCAGGGAAATTGTGATGAAACCGCTAAAAACCGTGAAAAGAAATATAATATACTTCAGTCAAGTACCAAGACGCAGAGAGTATTAATACATACAGGGTGGCGCATCGAAAACGAAACAGACGCATTTACTGGCAGCTCAGTTTTTTTTTGAAAAACGCACAGACCCGTCGATCTTAAATGGAAAGGGGGGTCGAGTGATACCTTATTTTAAAGGTATTTCAATTCCCTTTATAATGATATAAAATTAATGTACTTCAGTTCAGTAGTTTTGAGGATTTATTGATTTAAAGCTTAAATAAAACACATCATCATTAGTGGAGATCAATACTATTGGCAGCAAAGAAATTTAAAAATGAAGAATAAACTTACCCGTTAGGCAACTAAATGTTGAAAATGGCCACCATGACTCTCCATACAATAATAAAGATTTTGCTCAAAACGTTGCCGCACATTTTGCAATATTTGCGGAGTAATTTGAAGGCATTCACAATTCTTTGTCGCAGGTCTTCTAATGATGTTGGCTGAGGAGCATAGATTTTGCTTTTTAAATGACCCCACATAAAGAAATCCAAAGGTGATAAAACTGGCGTTCTTGGGGGCCATTCAATGGCACCTCTTCTAACAATCCATCGATCTGGTTACGTCTGATCTAAATATTGTCGAACACGTAATGCGTAATATGGTGGGGCACCATCCTGTTGGAACATCAACCTATTTGCAATGTACCGCCAATCATTCTGATTTTCAATTATGGCTGTTAATGCAGGATCTATGGCATCTTCCAGTAATTCCAAATACATTTCACCGGTCAAATTTCCAGGTAAGAAAAAAGTACCAACTAAATGATCGCCAAAAATACCAGCCCAAACATTTAATTTTTGTGGCTGCTATGTATGAACCTCATGATAAATTCTGGGATTAGAATCGGACCAATATCGGAAGTTATGACGATTTACTACGCCATTTAAGAAAAAGGAACATTCGTCGGAAAAGCAAGTGTTGTATAGAAAATGTTCATCGTTTATAATTCGTTCACTCATATCTTCACAAAATTGTAATCGCCGATCAAAATCGTCTTCATTAAGTTCTGGTACCAGGTGAATTTTATACGGATGAAAACTTTAGAATCCTTTGTACAGTACGTCGACTAACACCACACACAGTCTCAAATTTGCGGGTACTTAACGTAGGATCTACATAAACTTGCCCTAAAACCCCCACTTCTATTGCTTTGTTCCTTATGGGATTTTCAATGTTGCGTTTTTTATTGGCGACCCAGTTTCCCGAAATTTCGCTACAAGTACTAGAACATATTTTCGATGCACGTTACTGTTCTCATGTCGCTCATTAAATATTTCTGTTGTTCTATTAGCGCACTGATTATTTCCGAAAAATATTTCGATAATTTCAACTCTTTCTGCTGTGGTTAATTTGTGTAATGTAATAAAGCGTTATCAGTTATTTTAGCAACAAAGTTTGGTCAAATCAATCGCAAACTATGTACTAAATTCCTATTTGAAATAAGTAACTTTTTTGCCACAAAAAAACGCTCCAATAACTATTTTCAACAACAAAATGATAAACAAACCATGAACCAAAGAAAAGCAGTTACTTATTAAGTAAATTCTTTTAGTCAAATTTCTTCTGAAAGTAGTACAAACTAATCTGATGTACCTTTTAAAGTCTACTTTAAGCTTTAGATCAATAAAGTTTCAAAACTAGTGAACTGAAGTACATTAATTTTATATCATTATAAAGGGAATTGAAAGACCTTTAAAATAAGGTATCACTCGATCCCCCTTTCCATTTAAGATTTTAGGGTTGGTGTTACCCCCGACCAGGGGGCTGCACGTGTTAACGTGATTTTTTGCCAAACTTGTGTACATCTCGAAAACAAAATCGACGGGTCTGAGCGTTTTTCCAAAAAAAAAACTGAGCTGCCAGTAAATGTGTTTCGTTTTCGATGCGCCACCCTGTATATCGTAACGCTACTGTTTACGCTGTCTTTCAGCATGGTGAAAATTGGCACACCAGAACATAAAAACGTACTGAGTTAGCAAATGCTTTCAATATTACTCTATTTCATTTTGGTATAAAGCTTTTTTGTCTTTTAAAAGTTTGTATTGGCTTTCTGAACGACCTGAATATATATTTAGCGTATTATTTACCTTATATATATGTGTTATACCTATGACTTCACGATCACTTCCAAAATAGTTTGTTTCTTGTTCGCTTATCCTACAAAACAATTCATGATGTGTAATATAATGAATGTAACTTGCAATATGATACATTCATTGAAACACTTTTGCTAAGTGATACATTAAACTATAGATTTTTAGATTGAAAACCCAACAGATTCTTTCCATTTTACTATTACTCCTATCATATTTTAAAACTTACCCATAAATCATGATATCGGCATCTCTTTTTAACTTGAACGAATACACATGATGACCATCAATACTACCTCTTGTTACATTGCTAGTAGTATTAACCCTCAAAGTTACATCTACTTGTTCCGTTGTGTAATCGTCAACATTTTTTATGTCCAGATCCAAATTAATTATTTTCTTCAACAGAAATATAATTAGTATAGAAATAAACATTTTATGGGCGTAGGGATTCTTATTATAAAGTAGCGAAACACTTGTGGTTAAGGTAAGGAAGCATGAGTACCTGTTTACCCCTCTTCAAGGGGTTATCCACGTTACAAACTAAGAAAGATGAATTCGTTTGGTGCAAGCATTGTGGAGGTATTTGTCTCAAAGATATACCATCAGGTAAGGCGACTTCCAGCTTGGTAGCATATGCATTTTCTCCTATATTCGATACTTCAACTTGTACTGTTACATTATCTGAAGACCCCACCACCCATGTTTCATTTCTAGAAAGAAAAAATCCTAATCAACTTATCTTTGAGTCAGCCATTTTACTATACGATATAATGCAAATATACGAGGTCTGCAAATTAAGTAAAGGGACTGACAACGTTCGATCTGACAACACTGGAAGCACCGAGCTTGGAGGGGAGACTGGAGAACATGTGATCCCCCTTCAGTACAAGTTTGAACTCGGTGTTTTTCTATTGTGTTCAAAAAATTAGTGACATCAATTTCGAGTAACGGTCTGCTATCAGGTTTTACTTTATGCTTGCGCAGAGTAGTCTCATGAGCTCAGGATTTTCGGTGGTTTAAGGCATTTTCAGAATGGAGAGAGTCGATTTAAGATGAACTACGAAGCGGAAGGCCTTCATCTTCAAGAACCGATGAAAATATCCACAGAATCCGCGATTTTGTGAGTTAAGATCGTCGGTTGACAGGATGATCGGGGAGAAATTTGACTCATACCACCGTTCATCAGATTTTGACCAATGAATTATGAGATGAGAAAAATCTGCGCAAAAATAGTTACAAAAAACACAGGAAGGAAATATGCTTTGACTTTTTGGATTCTATTGAAAATGGTGGCGAGTTTTGGGTGTCCGGTAAGTACGACCTAGAAACCAGCGGCCAGAGGATGGAGTGGCACATTTTAATATATCTAAGGCACAGAAAAGCAATAAAGACGAAGTCGAAGATCCAATGCTTGCTGATTTGTTTTTTCGATATCCTCGGAGTTTGTTTGTTTTAGATTTATTTAGCATTAATGCTACAATATACATGTTACACAGCATAACACATAATATATTATGTCTTCAAGACTACATATTTCTATACAAAATGTCAGAACTATGAATTCTGGTTTTCCATGAAATATTTTTTTGATTTCTCCTTGAACATTTTCAAACTGGCATTACTTGATATCATTACTTAATTTATTAAATTCGTACAATCGCTCCTGAAATACTGACTTGCTCGTTATATGGCTACTACAATTTTGTAAATGAAAGTCTATACTCCCTCTAGTAGAATAACTATGGTATTCATTGTTCAATACAATAAAATTTTCTAAGTGATTTGGTAGAAGATGATTTTTTAACTTGAATGTGAAAATGAAAACCGAGTAGGTCATGAAATTTTTGATATTCAACCATTGTAGTTCTTTTAGCATAAAATTCATTTTTATTTAAGATTATTCTCATAGCTTTATTTTGTAATATTTGTAATTTTGAAAATACAGTTTCGTTTGCAGTGAAGAAAATAGTCGAACACTAGAACAAAAGAGAAAGAATGATATTGTACACATTTTTTTTAAAATTAACGCTTAGGCTATGCGAAATTCTATAAAACTATTTATCTTTTTGAATATTTTTGAAATAATATATTATTCATAGTGCCATTAAAATTTTAATTTACTATCTATATACGTAGAGAACCCAAACATTTAAATGATTCGGTTGACTCAATTTTTCATGATAGAATAAGTAAGGTTTATCGTATTTTCATCTAAAGATTTTCCTATAAGCATATATTTTGTTTTGTTTGTGTTTATTTTGAGATTATTCACATTTAACTTATTCACTATGTTTTCATATGATTGTTTAACAGCTGTATTGCACTTTATTTTCAGCCAATATTTTAATTTTGTAGTGTTGAAAACATCAGGAATATCGTTAATATATAAAATAAATAGTAATGGACCTAATTTGCTACCCTGTTGCACACCTACCGAAATGTTTTTAATGCTTGATAATGTATTTTCAGTTTTAGTTCTTTGACTTCGATTGATTAAATACTAGTTGAATACTTGTAATATGTCGAATACTGAACCTTTAAATCCATCATAATAATGCTACTTCGTTAACAATTTCTTCCTGTCAATAGTCTCAAATGCCCTCTTAAAATCCAAGAACAATATTACTGTAAACCTTTTTTTTACATATTTCGCCTCCATTCTTCTACTACCATTTGAATTGCGCTTTCAGTAGAATATTTTCTTATGAATCCTGCTTGAAATTTTGTCAATATCGTGTTTCTTTCAATATATTCAACGGTTTGTTCATATATGATTCCTTCTAAGAGCCTTTGGACATCTGACAGTACATTAATTGGCCGCATGTTTGTATATAACTCTGAATTTTGCATTTTTGGAAAAGGAGTAATTGTAGAATATTTTAATTTCGAAGAAAATTCGCCATACACTAAACAGTGATTCACTAACAATAATAACTTCTCTCCCATAACGTTGAAACATTCTTTTAGAACTATTTTTGAAAGATGTTCAATAGAATTTCTATTCGATTTTAATCTTGAAGTAGCTTTTGAGAGATGGCTGATGTTCATTGTTTGGTCATCACAAACAGTTTCTACCTCAAGGCCAAACGGACAATCAAAACTTTTAACGGGATGTGCTTGAAAAACTTCGAAAAAGGACCAAACATCCACAACAATATAACCATAATGCTCCTTTTGTAATACAGCAATGTCATTAAACGACTTTTTCGCCAGTAGAAACATTCCTGTCGCTCCGCTGCCTCCTTATTCACCTGACTTGACTCCTAGTAACTTTTTTCTCTTCCGGAAGTTGAAAAATCACTGTTTTGGGATACTCGAAGTCATTCAAACGGCTGTAACCGACCAGCTGAATACTATTCCAGTATCGGAGTTTTAGCACTGCTCTGAAGAGTGGAAGAACCCTCCTCATCCGCGCTATGTGACTTCAGAAAGAAGTTTTGAAAGTGAAATATAAAATTGTTATTATATTTGAATAAAAAAAATAAAGTCAGTCGCATTACTTAATTTACTGATCTCGTACGTGAATAATCGTTTTTTCAACTTCTACATACTATGCTTTTATTCGAATATATTTATAGTCCTCAGAGACCCTTTGTTTCCAATGTTTATGTCGATATCAGACAGACATTTGAGAAATGTTTTGGAAAATTACATTTTGCCGACGCATATTGGCTCAATATCATTATTTTTAATCCCTTATGCAGACTACGTTTCATATTTTACTCTACCTCAATCCTGGAAAACTGACGTTAATTTGAAGCTCAGCGTAACACAAATCGTCATCTCCACAATCCAATGCAAAAGGTAGATCCAATTTATACAACGTGCTATTTGATCTGTAAATATCCAAAACTGGACATTTGATACACAGTTTATCGCCGTCTTTGATCACCCGATCAGAAATGTAGGTTGTTCCATTCCTACCAGATGATGGTGTGACTAGTTCATAACTGAATACAACTTTTAAAGAATCGTTCGTAGATCGAGTTATTTTATCACATATGGTCCTCCCTTTGATTAAAGTCATTTTTTTTGTTACAATTGCCTGTTTGGATGACTTGTCGAACGAAATTTTGTATTTGATATCTGCAACAGAAAAAACTTCAATGTGGTATTTCAACCAAATTGTTGTGAGATCGACAACAGATTTTCGAAATTGCTCCACATACAGGATGAAGCCATGATACTAATAATTACAGTACAGTAGGTATAGGAATCTCACTATAATAACTTATCATAATAATAATAAAGCATTTATTGTCCAACAGTACAGATACCATTTAGAGAGCAATTGTTATTTGATTTTCACAGTCTGTGTCATCAACTGAAAAAAAAACAAAAAAGAGAAAGGTGCTTTAAGTAGAGAGAAAAGAAATTATGGCTATGATTAATAGATAATAGCAATATATATATATATATATATATATATATATATATATATATATATATATATATATATATATATAACAAAAATAGGAAAATAATGGGCAAAATCCGCAAAAAGTGGATTTGAGCAGAATAGGATAGGTAACCCGAGCGATACGTATTTCTGCTGGTTGGCTTCATCAGGCCCGAAATGAATGCACATATGCAACTACAAAAGTAGAGACAGATGCCCATACATCCGGATACGGGTGTAACCTGAGGAAACAAAGATGGAGAGGAAAAAAAGACACACGAAGTCCACAACAAGAGCCAACCTACACATTGTAGTATCAAATGGCTAGAAGACCTAGAATTTTCAAGGCGACAAATAACCACAACTACGCGGCCGGTTATAGCCACTTGCTGTGGTACTTCAAGCCCAAAGGATCTACAAAGAGTAAATTATCATGCGGAGAAAGGTATATAACAAAAATAGGAAAATAATGGGCAAAATCCGCAAAAAGTGGATTTGAGCAGAATAGGATAGGTAACCCGAGCGATACGTATTTCTGCTGGTTGGCTTCATCAGGCCCGAAATGAATGCACATATGCAACTACAAAAGTAGAGACAGATGCCCATACATCCGGATACGGGTGTAACCTGAGGAAACAAAGATGGAGAGGAAAAAAAGACACACGAAGTCCACAACAAGAGCCAACCTACACATTGTAGTATCAAATGGCTAGAAGACCTAGAATTTTCAAGGCGACAAATAACCACAACTACGCGGCCGGTTATAGCCACTTGCTGTGGTACTTCAAGCCCAAAGGATCTACAAAGAGTAAATTATCATGCGGAGAAAGGTATATAACAAAAATAGGAAAATAATGGGCAAAATCCGCAAAAAGTGGATTTGAGCAGAATAGGATAGGTAACCCGAGCGATACGTATTTCTGCTGGTTGGCTTCATCAGGCCCGAAATGAATGCACATATGCAACTACAAAAGTAGAGACAGATGCCCATACATCCGGATACGGGTGTAACCTGAGGAAACAAAGATGGAGAGGAAAAAAAGACACACGAAGTCCACAACAAGAGCCAACCTACACATTGTAGTATCAAATGGCTAGAAGACCTAGAATTTTCAAGGCGACAAATAACCACAACTACGCGGCCGGTTATAGCCACTTGCTGTGGTACTTCAAGCCCAAAGGATGTATGGGCATCTGTCTCTACTTTTGTAGTTGCATATGTGCATTCATTTCGGGCCTGATGAAGCCAACCAGCAGAAATACGTATCGCTCGGGTTACCTATCCTATTCTGCTCAAATCCACTTTTTGCGGATTTTGCCCATTATTTTCCTATTTTTGTTATATACCTTTCTCCGCATGATAATTTACTCTTTATATATATATATATATATATATATATATATATATATATATAGCTATACCATGTAATTCTCTCACGTACATATATACAAATGAAAAAGTCAAGAGAAAGGGGTTAAAAAAAGTCAAAGATGTGAACGTGTAGCTTTTCTTAATTCCTGATATCCACAACAGAAGATGTCACGAAAACTACTAGTCCTATCCCATTATTGCACATAAAGTTTGTGGGTAGTTTAGACAAGATTTGTCTGTGCCCTCTTGCAGAAGAAAAGGAAAATTTATATTTGTCAATCTAGGTACCAGGACAGTCGATGTTACCATGTATTAATTTGTATAAAAATATGATCGACGCCTTCTCACTGTGCTTCTCCAAAGAAGAGACATCAAATCTGCTCAATAATAATGAGTAATCATATCCTCTTGGATGATAGACACCATCATTCCTATAGCATATATGTTTCAGAAATTTGCACTTTTTCAATATTATTTTTGTAGAATCCATAGATAGGGCTCCAAATAATTGCACCGTAGTCTAATTTACGTATAACAAGCACTGCACATTACTCAATAAGCACTGTGGTATTGAAATTTCTACAATTTCTGATGATAAAGCCATATGCGCGATATGCATTAGAGTCAAGTGGTGCAAAAATGAGACAGCCGAAATTTCGGTCAAAAACAAGACATTCAATTTTTCCAAATGCAAAAAAACAATAACATTGTAAAAAATACGTTCCACATATATACAACTGAAATATGTAATGAATAATAAATAAACGTAAACACAAACATCGAGAAAAAAACTATCGCATCTGATTGTGCATTTTGCTTAAAAAATCTTTTAAATTGTATTTACAAACTTTTCCTGTTGCGCCGCTGTACCTGATCGTAGAGACTCGGTAAGTATCGCGTTTTCAAAATAACAAATGCGGCTATGATATTCCATATCGAATTTAGTCTATTTTTATTTGTTGGCAAGCAGGCACGTCGTGAATAACAGGTGCAAAAACGAGATACCACAAAGTTTAAAAACAAGACACCTGCCAGGTAAAAAACAAGACAGCTTTTATACCTTTGATAATAATGCCGAACGGTTACGTTCCCAAAAAGCGCCCCTACGTCAAAAAGAACATGGAAACAGCCCTAAAACTAATAGATAATGGCACTTTATCTCTTAGAAATGCAGCTAAACAGTTTAGAATTGACAAATCTGCTCTTTCGAGAAGACGTACTCGTTCACTTGGTAAACGGGAAGAAAAACTTCTCTAACCAAAGAAATGGAAGTAGACTTAAGTGATAAGATAAACATTATGGCAAAATGGGGGTTTGCTCTCACTAAACCAGAGATACAAGCAATAGTTCAACGCTATGTACAAGAAAACCACCTTACTACCCAGTTTAAGGAAGGAAAGCACGGGAAAGATTGGTTTAAAAATTTTTGTAAGCGCAATAGACTAAGTCGAAAAAACGCAAAAACGCAAGTTTACTACGTGGCACAAATCCTTACAGTTTTTGAAAGCGATGTAGAAGTAAAATATCTGAGGCGCAAAGGATTTAAATTTATTTTTCCGGCCATTGAGGACAAAAGTGACATAGAAATGAAACTTCCCCAGCCAGAAATATAAAGTAAGACTTGTCGTATCTCTCAGCAATATTTGTTTCCTATCGACTTTGAAAAATACGTCGTTCAATAATATGTACTACAAAATACGTTAGAATAATAAGTTTTCTACTTTAGCTCTTAAAATCCTATTGAAAATCTTGTTTTACCCCTTTTTTGAATTAGGTATGGTTTATTTAACTTGTTTTTGGATTTGTTTTCTTTTTAGTTTAATAAAAATAGTTTTGTATTTAATTATGTGAGTTTTCTTTAAGAACGTTGTCACAATTTAAAACCTAACTATGTTATTTGACTTACTAAACGCTTTAAAACCCTTGCAGTGTGTCTCGTTTTTATTTCCCAGGGTCTCATATTTTGCCACACTGATGTAAAATGACTAAAATACCAGAAAATACAGTGTCTTGTTTTTAACCTCTCACTGTCTCATTTTTAGCCTAAATAGTGGTTAAAAACGAGACAGGGTTTTTTAACAAAAACGCCCTTCATTATGAATATTATGAACTTTTTTTAATTACTATATGGCTTTTTATATACAGGGCAATATAACAAAGCCTTAAAGTCCGGTTTTTTGTTGACAAAAAATTAAAAGATTTCAAAATCGTCTCGTTTTTGCACTACTTGACCCTACCTATAATTTCTCTGATGTTGTAGTTAAAGGTGAGCTGACAATCAAAATACAGTGCCAAATCTTTGAAAGTTTCACACCTTGCCAATACAGAATCATTTATTTTGTATGATTAAGTTAAAAATTTGACTTTCCGGGTGAAGGTTAAAATGCGGCATTTAGAGTCATTCAGTCAGTATACGAATTGTCATTCATACACCATATTTGTAAAAAAAATTATTCGTTGTTGGAGCTTTTCACAATTTTGTCAGCTAGAAACTGATGTGTAAAGCTTCAAGTCATCAGCAAACATAAGCGTGTTGCATTATAATGAACTTCAAAGATCATTGGTGTGTAAGACAAACAATAGGGAACCCAAATTGGAACCTTGAGGTATACCACTTCTTAACATATATGTGAAAGAACTAAATCCATTATAGAACACATATTGAGTTATCAAGTCTAGATAAGACTTGAAAAGATCCAAGTACGTTTTGTAGAATCCCATGTATTCAATTTTTTGTCGTTGGTCAATTTTGTCAAACTGTTTCGTAAATTCAGTATATATGACATCCACTTGCCCCTTATTGTCTTCCATTTCGCATGGATATTGACTGAACGTGGCCAGATTGTTAATAGTGGATCTCTGCTTCAGAAAGCCATGCTGATGAACTGAAAGATGTTATTTAGTTGCGAAGTATACTCGGGAATACAATAGTAGCTTTGCAAATTTGTTCAGTATAGTATCAAAAAGGAAGGTGGAGGATAACTTTGGGGGATCAATATCGATGTTAAACTCTCCTTTACAAACACCTACGGAATCAATAGCAACATTGACGCTGTTTATCTGTATCTGCAATCTGACCCGTCATGCCATATGCCATATTTTTGGCGGAGACCAAATTTTCCTTAGCTACGACAAAAAACCTGTTTCCCAGTATACGAGGTAAACCTCCGGCTTCACAGCAGCAGTATCACTACAAACTCTCCTTCGGGATAATTAGAATTTTTGTAGTGTTGACATTTATAGACAGAATTTTGTTTTCATTGACTTTTACATTTTTTATTTTTTTTTATTTATAGCTTTTATTGCCCAATAGATAATATTCCATTTATAGGCCAAAATCTTAAATTAGAAATATTACAAAACCCTAACTTATAAAACTATCTAAGGCGCTCCCGCAAAACACATTTCAGCTCCGAAATAGAACATAAAATATGTCACAAAACTTACAAATACTATCATAATTCAAACACATAACCCTTTCAGGTGATTTCAAAATCAAATTTGTGTTAGCACGACTGCAAAAGAAAGTAACATTACATCTTGAAACGGAGCTTGGCGTTAAAAACTGTAGTTGTGATACCAATTCCGAAGAAAGTATAGTTCCATGCAAGAGTTTAAACAAAAAAATAACAGAACTGTGTTTCCTTCTCACATTCAAAGACGTCATTTTAAATCTGTCTAACAGAATTTGATAGTCTGATCCACGTTCAGGGTAGACTCTATCGCACTTAAAAGCTAGATATTTAAGATACTTTTTTTGAACATAATCTATCCTGTTTATATAACAGTTATAGTACATCCATATTAGGGATGCATACTCTAACTTGGATCTTATATAAGCATAATACAAGGTTTTTAGTCCTCTCAAATCATTGATTAGCTTACAGTTTCTGATGAGAAAACCTAAGGCCCTATTAGCATTATTCACAATATTATCTATATGACAGTCAGAACTAAGCCTAGTGTCAAACATAACACCCAACTCAACTCAATTCCCCCAATACTGTATGCATATTCTATTTTACGTAGCTTTCGGGATAAAGTAACTACCTTGCATTTAGCAATATTCAAATGTAACCTGTTTAGCATACACCAAGCTTCCAAACGGCAAAGTTGCGTTTGTAAATACTCACAATCTCTTTCACTATTAATATTAACATACAGTTTCAAATCATCAGCAAATAACAGTTTACCACAATCAATATAATCACATACATCATTCACAAAGATCAAAAACAATAAGGGGCCCAGGTTAGAGCCTTGTGGCACCCCAGATGACGAATTGTATCGAAACGATTCGAAACCATTGTAAGAATCGTACAGCTATCGATTCCACAAGACATTAATAACGATATTGATTTGTCAGTAAAACCAAAGGAACCCAGCTTAGCAATGAGCACCCCATGATCAACCTTATCGAAGGCTTTAGAAAAGTCAGAGTAAACTGCATCCAACTGTCCCTGATTATCTAGGACATTCGAGGCTAACTGAGTGAATACTGACAGTTGACTTACCACACATGAACCCATGCAGGAACTCGGATATTTGAGTATAGGTGGAAACTAAGATGCGGTTGTAAAGAATTATTTCAAATAACTTGGCAAAATTATTCAATATTGAGATCGATCTATAGTTCTCAGTTGAATCACGGTCACCCGCTTTGTAAATAGGACAAACCCTGGTTTCCTTCCATTTATCTGAGAACTTAGCTGTAGATAATACGAGATTAAAAAGAATAACCAGAGCATCTACTATACCAAGCGCACAATCCTTGACCAGGAAAGAGGGGAGCTTATCTGTCCCTGAGGTTATCTTGGACTTCAGTTTTTTTGCTGCATCACATACATATTTCATTTTCAGTTATACTCTCCTGAGTTAAGTTGACAATACATTGGATGTTAGAAGATAGGTTTTCACCGCAATAGGTATCAGATGGCAAGTAAACTGTCTTTATTTTTTTTACAGATATTTATTTACGTTTATTTATCTCGATTTCTTTATAATTCCTACCCACTGCGAAAGCTTAAAATACTATCTTAGAAAATACATACCTAATTTTCCACCAGTGTACTCTGAATAAGAGAAACAAGCTTGTAACGTGAAATCAGAAGGTTCTCCCTTCAGTACATCAGGTATGGACCGAAATGTATATTTGATCACAGCTGTTGGTAGTGCTCTTAGTAACACCACGTGACCTGATGAGTGAGCTCCTATAGCAAGATCTAAAAGTACATATTACAAAAGTAAGCAGATATTACAGATGATTTTACTGTTTTAATAATATAAGATTTGTTAGAATATTCGAATGGTGAATATCGCTTGCCTTTTTTATCATTTCCATCGATATCTGCTACTTTTGAGAAGCTTATACCAAATCCTCTAATATGAGGATCAATTTGACTTCCAATAATTGTTTGAGATGGCTTTTTGTTCAAGCCAAATTGCCCATTTTCTTGTTTGGCTCCTCTGAATATATATACGACGCCACTGTTTTCGGCATCGTTGGGTGCACCAATAGCAACGTCTGTAAAGCATAAATTGTGTCAGAACATGGTGGGGTTGTCTAATCACATTAGACGAAAATAATTGTAAAGTCTGGTTTTATCGCTGCAGGTGGTTCTAAGGGGGTATTTAAAACACGGACGCATAAAATTTTTGTGAGAAAACTTTCTATTCGACATCAAACAATAAGAAAACGTGTTTTTTGGGATTCCATCGAAAGTGTTGTCAGGAACGATAAAACTCTTCAAATATGATTTTTAGGTATTTATGATACCTACAGAATGAGACCACACGTAAAAAGATCCGTCTAATAGTAAAAAAGTTATGGCTGAAAAACGAGGCAAATTGCAGGTTTTGGCACTTGCTGATGCGACGATAATCGCACGCAGCTACTAGAAAGTCTTCCAATCCGTAGGCTTCATACTGCTAGATAACCACGACAAAATTGGAGTCGATTGGTCGAGTAGTTTTTGATAATTTCTAATTGCTTATCCCAAAACACCTGTCTAACGACTAGTTTACTGAGTAATATACAGGGCTCGCTCAAAGGGCATTTTATTTCAAAATACACGAGTTTACCTTGCCGACATGAATCACAAACCATTGCGAAAGGTAATTGTTGTTTTTTAGCGAAAAACGAAGGGTAACGTTTTTTATCCTAAACAAGTCCAAACATTTCGTATTTGTGAGTAATTGAACAGATTCGATACGATATTCGAAAAACCTACGTTATTATACACTTTTTAAAACAAAGCGGATGTGTCTATCACCTTTCGTTGCGAGGAAAACAATTTTTTGCTTCATAGTATACATATTTAGAGCTGAAATTTTTACACGCTCACAGATGAGCTTTAAAAGTTTAAAAAAAAATATTGCATACTGAAATGCGCTGAACTGCTTATAAAGTTAGCACGCAAACTGAAGACACAATTATGTTTCAAACTGTCTTAGACTAGTTAGTATGTAGCATGTGCTGAATGGCTGCATTGTTGATGACTGCATGACTTTGTCAAATAAGTAGGGCGCGTAATACAGTTTCTTTACGAAGAAATATAATTACCTGGACCTTTTTTCTAAAACTTTTAATATAGTATATGTATGTTTTAGAAATCTCGTACGATTAAAATGACTGCGAGTTCATGTTGGAAAACAAACTCGAAAAAACAGTAGACAAATATCAACCAATTGTAGCGAACTGACCGTCTGAAAAATTAGGCAAAATGCTCGGTATTAGTCCCTTTTACATTATTTAAAGCTTCACCATTGTATGTTGTATGGTTTTTAAGAGTATATAAATGTTATTTGATATGCCTCGAACGTTCGCTTGACATTTGTGTCAAGTATAGTGGTATAAAGATCCAGTAGACCAAGAGGTTGTGTTTGTGTAATGCGAAAGAATAACTATTGTAGAACCGCAGGACGGAGATTCGAATCCACAAAGCTCATTTATTAAATTTGGTGAAATAAATTCACAAAGAGATATAAAAAATTATAAACAATCATACGTATTCCGCTGGTTTCCTGTTTGCAAGCTTACATTGTATATGGCGAGCGAAAAACTGTTTGAACGCAATAAAAGTACACATAATGTGAAATAGTTATTTACCTGACAAGTGCATAAAGTGATACTTTTCCGCACGCGACAGCAGTCATACAATAGTTTGTATGTAAATATGGTTATGAGCTGGTTATGAACTATTAGATGAAGAGACCGAGATTTGAACAATCTATAACTATGATATACCAGCTGCTCTCAATCAAATGAAACTGCTTTTCTCTGATTTTTTTTCCTGAAAAAGTACTTTTATAAAATTTGCTTAAAGCGTTAAAGGCGTACGCGAAAACGATATTTCTTATATTCCTATCCTAATGTCTGAATTTCCAATTAATTACCTTAATCATAGAACACATGAGGCTCAATTTCCCTAATGCACGAACATGCAATCCATAATCACCATTTTATTTATATTTGCGTCAAGCAGAACGTATAGACAACCATACTTACGCAACTCTCTTACTTCCGCCGTCATCGATGCGATTAGTCATGACCCTTGATATAGACGACATAAAACCCCAGAGATACTTATTTGGTAAAATTAAAAAATTCTGACTATTAATACAATGAAGTTACTAAGACCAGCAATTTTTTTGATCTATACCATCCAAATCGTGTGAGGAATGGAAATATGTTTTTGTTTATATTGCGCAACGCCATAATCCAACGAGAACTATTAACTCATTTTTTACGCCGTGGATAATAATGACTTGAAAATAATATGTTAATGGAACGTGCCTTGACTGTTCCATCTACATAAATGTAAAGTTACCTGCGGTTGTTTCAAGAAATTTATTCATGTTGGATTTTGATAGTACTGTAACGAGAATGAATAGTACTGTTGGTGCCATTGTTGGGGACCGCGCCAGGGACTATCATTCGAGATCGACGCGAAGTGACCTCGAAGATTTTGGACTGCCGCTATGTGGCTCAACGGGACCTTCTCGAATAAACGAGTACCTGCGATACGGACTATATAAGCCAACGGCCGAGAGAGGGAAGCAGAGTAGAGTGGAGTGAATGGCGCGACATAATAATTCGTAAATAAGTAGTCAGACATAAATAGTGGTGTACATAAATGTTCTATCAGGTTAAGTTAAAGTTAGTTGTGTTGTGTTTTAAATAAATTAGTCCGTTTCTTTTTGTGGAATCGAGTAGTTTTAATCCATACCCAAAAGAACACAGAAAAATGCTACAATATTAACCGCTTTTCAGAAAAAATATCCGTGGTTTTTCAGGTCACTGATAACCGATCTGTTATGAGAATTACCAAATTTTTAAAACGGGGGAACGAGTATGCGGAATCGGTTCCATATTTTATAAAACTGTACCAAAATAATATAAGGATGCTTAACTCCAAAACGGTTCATTATAGCCCTCCTCCTCCCCCCCTGAGATGAATATCTTCCTGAACATGAATCCTGTGACCACCCCCTTACACAAATGCTAGATCCGCTCTTGGGAGTATCTGACTGCATCCGTTTAGAACACTACTTACCGCCATATCCATCATTGTCTATGTCTCCTAAGAAAGCGAGGGCTGATCCAAACATCCCATTACGGGTTTTGCCATAGAGAACGGTGGCTTTCCGGAGTTTGTTCTAAAATGAAAATTTGCATGAGAGTCATATTTTATCGTGTTGCAGATATTGCGACATAATCACAGTCAGACCCTTATAAATCCTGAAAAAATGTGGATTTTTATCGTTTTTAGAATCTAGTCTATTTGGTGCAGCTTCAAAAATACTTGAAAAGTCTCGAATTTGTATATATGCAATATGCAATACGAAAACAGATTTATGTCGATGCTTGAAAAGTACTGTCTTCATTTTTAGCTACCTTCTTTAAAAACACTGAGGCTGGGTGAACAAGAAAATAGATTGATTGAAATATAATGTAAAAAAGCAATCATGGCTACCTACCTGTCCTCCAAGAAACAGATATACACAGCCTTCATTGAATGAAGTGACTTTATGGAAAGGTGCTCCCACAATCAGATCAGTATATCGATCTCTGTTTAGTTCTCCCGATGTCAACGTAGCTCCAAAGTATTCTCCGAACTGTTCTCCCACTAGTACTTCTCGTTCGTCTATTTTCCTGTTGTTACCGGCTATTTGGAAAATTATCACCTGAAGTATTTCGAGTTAAAATTTGAATAACAATGTATTTGTGTCCTTACTTTCCCCTTATAGCCACTTCCTTTTGGACTACCAGAAGCGTAGAAAAGATGTGGATGACCATAGAAGTATCCTGAATCTGTTGAATATCCTACAAATATTTTGAATGTTACCTTACGTTCGATATATAAAAAATATTAAATCACAGCTACCATTCAAATGTTTTTTATTATTCTATAAGAACTGGCATTTTAACGCAATTGAAAAGTTTTAAATTCACATATATTATAATATTGTGTCTAAAACTCCATTCCTCCAACATTAGTAGCTGCTCTACGCTTAAGTTTTGAAATACTGCTCTTACCAAGATATCCAGACGTATCAAAATTTGATACATCCGGTATTTCAGGGTCAATCATATTTTGGTTTTCATTGAATTGAATCCTGATTGGTGCTCCCACCCAATTATAAACTCCAGGTGCTCCCAAAATTAATTCGTTTTGACCCTAAAAAGTAAATAATAAGTTTGAACTTTTAGAAATGTAATATTTATTTTCTTTATAGTACTAGAAACCGTTAATCGCATTGTGACCATTGCAGTATTTTTTTGTTTGCTTGAGCACTATACTGAGCAGTTACAGAACCCAATTATATTTTCGAAAAGCCATGAAATAACGGATTAAGTATTAAAGAATTAAAATTCTTGGCAACCCGTATCATACCTATTTATATGTTTTTAAGTATTAAGTACTCTTAAGCATATTTATCATCTTACAATGACTAGAAATCTTTCAAGACTCCCAAAAGTTTCATTTTAATTTATTCCATGATATTGTAGTTTTAGACTTTTAGGGAGTAGTTTGATTTTATTGATTTCAATTCAATTACAAAGCTGGGCAAAATCACTTCAACATGGAAACAATTTCATGCGGCTCGGTGAAGCTCAAAATCGTTCTGGTTTGTAAAACTTACTGTTGTATTACCGATAAAAACTGCGCTTACATTAGTAAGGTGAGCTGAAAAACCGGCTTCACCATGTCCATACATATATAGTTGATTGTTCTTTATAGTTTTGCCTGTAAAATATATGAAAGTGTTTGTTTAGATTTTCAATCTAAAATACAATTATCTTTCTTTCTATAGTTTTCGAAAGCTTACTCACCAAAGTCTAATATTGGGTAAATGTTTTCAAATGAACTAGACGTCAGATTGGACCAATAGCAACCTCCCATCGTGAAATCATTTTCCCCTTTCGTGAAATGTTTATGAAAACCGCACACCTAAAATGAAATTCAGAAATCTTGCTTGGAAATATGTTTTATATAAACGTACTTTGTACTTTGCGAAACTAAAACATCAATAAAGTTATTGATCTGTTTTCCTAATACGTAAACTCACCACAATTCGATTGAATTCATATGATACGTCCATTGTCGCTCCAATCCAACTTCTGTCATGTCTTTCTATCACATTTTTGTATTTAGAAGGCATACTGACTGTAAAAATATTTTTAAAATTATCGGGACTTTATAAATTTCACAAATTATAAAAGAACAGAGTTTTCAATATGATATTAAAATATTCTAGTTTTACATTTATACTCGGTCACATATTTCTTAACTTACTGTTCGGAAGTGTTAGGGTCTTACACCCTCGTGTCATGGTACATTCGTAGAGTTCCCCTGAACGGTTGGACAAAGGAGCGCCTATTTTTATCCTGCAAAATTCACGATGAGATCAAGTCAAGTTAAATCAATCCAGGTACGTCAAAGAAAATTTGAGCCAAGTAGGATACAATACCTACGGAATTTCCTCAAGGTTTGAAAGGGCAATACGCACAATTTTACAATATACAGAAGTGGACGTCAAGCCGGAAACGGAGGGTAGGCCAAGCGATAATAGTTGTTAGAAAAAAATATAAAAAAGTCCTGTATTTTTCAGATTATAGATTTGCAAAAGAATCGGAAAAACCTACACCCTATGATGATCCTTCAGTTCTCATTACTACAAATTTCAAATTTTTGTTAAGACGGAGTGACGCACAGTGTCATTCTACGTAGTGACAGCAAGACAGTTCTCAGCACCTCATTTATGGGGAATGTGGATGCAATGCTACTGTTGCAGCTAGGGTTTCTCATGAGAGGTACCCAAATGCTGTTCGTCATCCCGATCTCAGAGTTTTTGAATTTGTACCGTTTACTCTCAGAAGGACGATTCCCAGATCAAGCATATGATGAAGAATTTCCTTTCCTTACAAGAACAAAGTACAACAAGAAGACCCAAGTACTTCATTACGTCGAATAGAAACAAGCGCGGGAGTGTCCAAAAGTACAGTCCACCGAATCTTGCGAAAGAACGAGCTCTACCCGTACCACTTACAGCGAGTACAGAAGTAGCTTGATCATCTATTGTGAATTTAATAAATACATTTACAAATTAATAACGGTGGCGTTACTATCTATCTTGCTGTCACTATGTAGAATGACACTGTCCGTGCGTCACAATGTCTAAGAAAAAAAAACTGAAATTTGTAGTAATGGGAACTAAAAGATCATCACAGGATGTAGATTTTTCGATTTTTTTAAAGCCTATAATTTGAAAAGTACACGATTTAGATTTTTTTTATAATTTCTGATAAATTTTATGACTTGGCCTATCTCTCGTTTCCGGCTTGAAGTCGACTTGGACACCCTGTATACATGCTACAATAGTAGCCTGCGCAAAGTTATTGTATGTGTGGGTATTCACTAGTAACAAATCTGATTTCTTATCAAAACCGCATTGGACGCACAAATCATTCATCATATCGAAACATGGTGGCGATTGACTTTTGAACATTACATCGTAATGTCTCGGGTTCACTTCTATTATGTTACAACCCGAAGAAACATTTTTCTGTTTTACAGTTACAACTTAAGACAGATTCCCTCTAGCCAAAAATGCTTGTGTTACTGTTCGTACCAACTTATTCGGAAGAATACAGTTATAGTTCGTACTTATATAAAAAATTATGATTCATAAAATGGGTTTTATTAAGTTTTGAAAAAAAGGGAATTATGCTGCCGCACACTTTATTTCTGAATGATGCGACATGATAGCTTGTAACGTATGAGGGAGCATAACCACTGGTAACAAACGGCCCTCGTATCATAACTAGCATGTTAAGGTAACTTGACCAAATATGGACACCCCTAAGCAAATTATGTCGTCAAACGTTTAATATCCATTATAAAACAATTAAATTTCTTGTATGTATACCTTGGATTGTGGAAATAAGAAAAATGTTGATCGAATAGGATAATACAACTTTATTATGGATTAAAAAAATAAACAATAAATAACTGTCAAGTGCCCACATTAGGCGCATGGGTTCCAAATATGGGCACCACGCATTTTTGTGGACTCAAGATAAAACAAAGAAATATAAACTTAACAGAGCTCTCTATACATTTAACAGAATTTTCTAAGAAAAAGAGTAAATATTTCATTACTTGAAAAATATAAAATGCAAAAACATCGGCAAACGCAAACTTTAAATGGCAGCAACTAGCTGCTCACAGACTAAGCACTATCTTCACATTGCGTTCATCGGAAATTTGTCTTTTGAGGTCAAGCCGTAGCATTCCTCGTGTACCCATGTCTTGCAAAAGGTGCACTGCCTCATATCGCTCGTCTGGTCTTCTCCACATAGAGGACAATACCACGATTCTGCCTTGGCATTGGACAAACCAGGCAGCTTTATTTTGCTTCTTTGGTGGACTGTGGTATCTTTGACTGCGTGTTTTTTGTAGGAAATAGTTCTAAGGTTACTTGAACAGCGTTGTAGTTTATTGCCTTTTTAGCAGGCCTTCGACCCGCATAGCAGGAAGCTCTGGTGTTGGCAGTAGCTGTGAACAAGATTGCGACTGTTCACCGTCTGAGTTGTCGCTTATTTCGGGACTGGACTGTACAGGAGAAGAAGATGATGAAAAGGCCTCCCATTCCATACTTTCATCTGAAGATATGTGCTTGTGAAGTTGAAGGTCTGGGAGACGAAGCTGCAGGAGGGTCAACAATATTTTCATCGATATTCTCTTGAGGCCTCTCTGATAATGTTGATGGTGCAAATGCTGTTTCCGGTATTATTGTCGGATCAAAGGGATATATACCTGTTGCTTGAAAGCCCGCCGATACATTTGCAGGTGTAGTTGCTTTTGGCCATACTTTGGAAAATACAATGACAAAGCTTGATTTTGTTAATTTTCTGTTTGGATGAACCCCCAAAAGCTCTGGAGTTCATCATCCCAATGGTATTCAAATGAGCGGAATACCGATTTATCCACGTGTAGTAGCTCATGTTTACAATTGCTAGGTAAACAGAGCAATGTTATGTGTGCTTCTTCTGCAACAGTAACGATGTTGACATCTAGATGTGATTTGGCTCCATCAAAAATTAAAAGTACATTTCCTGAAGGCTTGTGTTCTGCAAAGTGATGTACCCCTTCAACGAATGTAGTGCATGTCATACTTCCTTTTTGGGTCATGAATACTTTAGCTCCAGGGTGAAGATTGTCAAAAAATTCGGGCTTATTTCTCTTACCTTTAAATAAAATGACTGGAGGTATCATTTGCCCTAGCCCTAGAGCGTTCCCACAGGACACCACAGTGACATTTTCCGCGTGTTCTGGAGCTACAAAAGGTACTCTTTTAATTCCTTTGCGAGTTAACACAACAGGCTCCTTATGGACGGTTAGCTGACAACCTTTCTCATCAATGTTAAAAATTAAATGCGGTTTACCCATCACATCTAGATCAGACATCACTTTTTCCAGTGTCAAAATTATGTGCAACAATAAGTTTATTTAGCTTTGCTGCTCGTGCTGGGTTAACGTTTTGGGATTTTCTTCGAGCAACATCAGGGTACCGTCTAAGAAATAACTTCAGCCATTTTCTTCCAACCAGAGTTGGCTTGTTAAACGGCCACTGAATATTGTTTATTTGACAAAAAGAGTGTACATTTCTGCGCAATATTTTGGATGTAAAGGGCATTCCTATCTCGGCAAGCCTAAGTATTCTTGAGAACAACTCGTCTTCCTGGTCCTTAGGCAAGATAGATTTTCGACCCAAGTGTTTCTCTTTGTTTCCAGATCTGGCATGGCATTGTAAAGTGATCCGTGGTATACCAAAATTGATTGCTGCCCGCTTTGTTTTTATACCCTGCAGCTCCACTTAAGGAGTCAGAACTCCACTGTTCTCTTTTTTTTGGCGTCATCTCCTGGAAAAATGAGCCCATCGTAAAAAAACATAGTTCAATTGAGCAAAAAGTGATAGTGTTCCAAATATGGGCACTGCTCATATTTGGCGCTTTCGCGAGTGCCCATATTTGGCAAAATGAAACTTTGTGACTATTTCTAGCAATACTTACTTCTGCAGTTTTAGATTTGAAAATCACGGACACGATAGGCAAGTAAGAGTTGCCAGTTTCACATTGATCTATGGTGATCAATATTTTATGTACATTTACAATAAAAAATCGACGAAAGTATTACAGACAGAGATTACAAGGTCCACGTGCACGGCAGCCATTTTCACTATTTACATATTGTAGAGCGCCACCTCGTAGATGATATAGAAAACAACTTATGCAGTGAGTTTGTCTATACTTAGTGGCTATATTTAACTGTAAATTACAGAGAGACCAGTATTAGAATTATTCTATTCCCGACATTGCCCAAGTTTGGGTCAGTACCTATATTTGGTTCAGGTACCTTGTTTTGGAAGATCAAATCCTATAGGTTGACGACCTCCATTCACCATACACTGAATAAACCGATTTCTGGAATTTGAAATGGCTCTTGCTTGCATAGCAGTCATTTTGTTGGAAATTTTCCTGAATGCTGGTCTTCAAATCTTGTAACGTCTTTGGACAGTTTATATAAACATGCGATTTAAAAAAACCCATAGAAAAATATTACAAGGGGTCAAAACGTTAGAGCGGGCCGGCCACTCCAAATCGCCCCTAATTGAGATGGGGCGGTCTGGGAAGTGTTCCATCAAAACAGCCGTCGATCCTGCTTCCATCTCAGACACCTCGTGTCAAATTCCGTTAAGTCGTTTTTGGTATTTCAGATTTATTTCCCGGGCTAAAAGGTAGTCTATATAAATGTGCTATTCTAAACTATAATCTCTGTGTCAAATTTAATTCAGATCCGCTCAGCCATTTTGGGCGTGATCGAGTAACAAACATATCCTGACTTTCTCATATATAATATTAATATATAGTAGAGTAATTTAGAGAAGCTTTTCGGCTTTTCGATTTTCGTACGTCAATCCAAAAATAGAACGTTCAAGCGAAATAAGAAGTTGATTCACCCATTCGTGGAAAAGAACTTTTTGTACGTTATAAACTGCAAGAGCCCTCCGTAAAAATATTATTCCTTCAAATCAGGAAAGAAAAAGTCGGTACAGATGTCATTTATCTTGTCGAAACAAAAGAGGTATCCACAAGCTGCTAAGATAACCAACCGCGTATACAATTTGATTTCATGACTTTTAGTACGGGGTACTTTAGTCGTGGGAGGCGGAGTCGCTTTCCCTGTATTGGTTTTTGTGCGTATAATACGAGGCACGTCCAGAAAGTAAGTGTACTCAATTTATGTAGGGTTCAAAAAAAATGTATTAAAACCATAATATACTTGGTTACACTTGTACATATGTAAGTTATTTTTCGACATAGTC